GCACCACCTATCCAACCGATAATGACTGCGGCGGTTGAAAGGCGTATACCGCATAAGTCGTTGAGCATTTTGTTTCGAGGAATTTCACAACTATAACCAGAACCTATTTAACGTTAAACACCGTTAAGTATTTGTATAAATGGAGTTAATATGTTTACTTACTTTTATTACAGCAAGCAGTTTATTTAATAATTATCTTTCTTTGTTCTAGAACTGTTGCACAGAAACTGCATTAATATTATGTGCAATAAAGAATTATTTTTTATGTTCTTACCAAAGAACATTTATAAGGAAGGGATATTTCCTAGAAAGGTAGACCATAGAAAATCTATAAGATACGAAGATGTAGTTTATGTAATCTCTTTATTTATAAATGACAGTTAAACATTTCAAGCGCTTACGTAACTGTAGTGCCTATTATGGGTTGTCTATCGCTGATAGACAGTAGACAAGTTTCTATTGCTGATAGTCAAAAATTTTGGTATTGTGAAACCGATAGAAGTTCTTCTATTAGCACTGGATGAATTTGTCTATAGCACTTGAGCAGTACAAATTTGTCGATTAGATCATAAAATGCTTAAAATGTTTATACAATAGTTAGTAATAATTCATTTATATTTTTATTTGCTTACCCCATTAATATATAATATATCAAGTGTAATATATTGTATGTTGAGAATAATCGTTGTTGTATTTTTATTTTGTTCACTTATTTCTTTATGCATGTTTATTCAAAAATATTGAACAAAAAAGCCTTCATGTATGTAGTTAATCTCACCATGTGTATAAGCATTTTTAAACTTTACAAACATATATGTGGACAAATAATATAAGAATTAATATAAAATTATAAAACGATAAAATTAATAGAGTTTTTTGTAAAATAGCAAAGCTTGTTGCAAATATGGAGAAATATGCAGACATTGCAAAAAGCATATACATCAAGACACAGTCTAGACCAACGTGGGAAAAAATGGCAATGGAGCTCAACAGTTGGCAATGTCATAAAAAATTTTTAATTCAACTCAAATGTTTAATGTAAATTATCTTTCACTTTTATTTTATATTTCTCTTTCAGATTTGGGTTGATTCGAAAGCGAAAACCAAACAGCATTAAGTCTGGTAGAAATAACTTTACATCACTTGTAACATATTTGAGATGATGTTTTTGATATATGTTTTTTGTTGTGCTGTGTTCAATATGAAAATAAAAATTGTAAGCACTAAAAAATAGTTAACTTAAATAAAAAAAAAACAAAATTAATATTAGAAGGGCATTTGTATCCATTTGTGGCGTTCATGTGGCATTATTCAAAAAGAGAAGTTTACTTTGAAAACTAGAAATTGACAATCAATCAAATTTTCATGCATATACATTTTGATTTTAAAGCCTCAAATACTATCTTAAAGCAATTACAGATAGCTCAAAACCTGGCTTTAAGAAGACTGTTTAAGATTCCATGGTATATTAGATCAACAGACATACATAGAGATCTTAGGATTGACTCAGTGAAAAAATATATCAGAGACAGAGCTCTAAAATGATTCACTAAAGTTGATACGCTACTATTATGATGAAGAAGGGGGTTACCCGCCGTAACAATCCTCAAGTCCACTTCTGGATTCTCAGGAAGATATGCTGATTTAAGGTCCGTCATCAACTAAAAGACAAATAAATGATATGACTTCTTAGCTTAGTTAAAGCCTAGTGGGGGGTAGTGATCAGCCCCCCAGCCATTATAGAGTAAAAGTGCGTAATAGCACTAACTCAAGAATAAAAAGAAGAAGAAGACATTTTGATTTTGAAAATTAGAAAATTTTAGAATTTTGAACAGAACATAATAATTGTTAGTAATAATTTATAAAATCTTAATAAATATTAAAAAACTCATATTAAGAGTCAACATTATTACATTGGTGACCCTCGACGGTTGGAAATAAGTGTTATGGTAATTAATAGGTCTGTTCCACGAGCTACACATAGTAACTTTGAGTAACACTGTGTATACACAAGTGCGTTCCACGAACAAATTTGTGAGTAAATGAGAGCATCTGAGAGAGCATGACATCCCTGTCGAAATTTGAAAATGTTACACAGACTTTACTCCAAAGAAGATAAAGAAAAGAAACTGAGAGGAAATTTTGAATAATGGTGCCTCTTTGTGTAATATCGCAAAGAAAATCTCTTTTACTTATTTACCATACCAGAATTGTCAAATATTAAAAACGGTGTGGCTTATAACTTAAATATTTACTACATTTGTGGTTGCATATTAGCATGTAGCCATTTCTTCTAATTAGAAGAAATAGTATAAATTATTGTTCTTGGAAAATCCATTGTATATATTAATACGATTATAATGAGTAAATATAGGCATGATTTTTTATATCAGTTTTACTTCAATTTACATAAAAGTTTTAAATGCGCTATATAAATCAAATATAAATGAAGAATTGGTAAACTAAAATCAATAGTAAATATAAAGTAGCTATTATTGATATATGTAAATATGTATATATAATTAGTCATGAAATTGTTTTAATAAAGTTAAAAAAATTGTATCGTATTTATTAAAATAAAAGTTCTTTTAATCATGTTGCACATATACGTACTATATTTATATATATGCTGAGCATCTAATAGAAAAGTTAGTATGTGTTCATACATTTCGAGTATTAGGTTGCATTGTTTTAATATTTTGTTTTAAAAAGATTAATATTAATATAATTTTTTAAAATTCAAAAAAAGTTTGGTATATTGTAATACAATTTTTGCTTGTGCATCAAATTTTTTCAATATAGAAAATCGTAAAAATGTATATACTGTTTACTACTACATATTTTTTGTAGTTTTAAGCAATCCTTTCAGTAAGGTGAAATGTTTTTTGTATATGAAATTCAAGAAATTCTTAACTAGTTAATAACAACATTGTAAACAATAAGGATCAATTTCATCGCAAAGTGTTAGAAGAAATATTAAATATATAAGCATTTTCCGCGCCACCTAAGAGGTATGCTTGCTGGCGTGTTCCCGAGTTTTAGGTGTTCGGTTCCCCAATAGGCCTATCCATCAAAATATTTTATTTAACAAATATACAATTTTATGTAAATACAATTTAGAATAACTTAATATATACAAAATAATATTACTATTTTAAAAATATTTAATATTAAACCAAAAATAATAAGGAACTATTAAATTAAAGATAAATTATAAATAAATTTAATAAATTATAAAATTAAAACTAAAATATTTTTTGTTTAAGCAAAAAATCACTTAAAGAGTATGAACACTTTTGTGCTGTTTATAAGTGTTGAAAGCATAATTGTTTATATTTAAAATTCGACACTTTATTATCTCGATTGAAATATTTTAAAATGAAGTAAATTCTTACTTTAATGAAAAAAGATAGAAGAGTTTCAATTTTGCAATTAGAGCAACATATATAGGGATGAACGTTTTCTAATTTATTAAATAAATGTTGCGCTAAACCTAATTTATAGCAATTGCTATCGAACTGATCCGAAAATTGTGATTCTAATTTTTCAATATATGTATATATAATAACAACACTCAATCAAAGTATAATTAATAATATTAATTTTTCCTTTTTTATAATTATTAGTATATCATGGAAAAAATAAAAAATAAAAGCACAACTTAATTCGTAGTTTATTATATACACTAATTAGGCACACATCTAAGTTTCTAATGTGTTAATACATTTATATATTTACTTTATTCTACAACAATAAATTGCGTTATTTTTAATTAATAATATACATTCGATAATCCTTTGGAAAAATATAGAGATGTTTGAAATTTAAATATCCAAGTACGCATTTCCGTTTCAATTGTAAATAAATTTTAATTAACTAATAATTCATATATTTTTCTGGAATAATTATCTTTTTTTAATGCTTTTATAATTGAAAACAAGTTCCGCCTTATTTTTCTTTTAGTAATGTGGTATTTGTGCACTTAATTGCAACTTTGGCGCATTTTCTCGTAACGGATTTTTAATGTCAAAAAACCAAAACAAACAACAAAATTTCTCAGAAACCTCTTTTACTTTAGCAAATATCGTGGTGAGTAGGGACCGGGTGGGCAAAGTAGCAGGGTCCGGGTGGGGAAAATATTCACGCGCCATTATGTAGCATTAGGCTTTTTGTTATTGTACTACGTAATATTTTCACCTCATTACACAAAATTTTTGAATATTTTTTGAATAATCCAGAAAAATTTATACACAATTTTTCGAGTAACTCTCAGTTTCTTTTCTTTATCTTCTTTGCTTTACTCATGCATTTTATATGAAGTAAAATTTGTATTTATGTGTAAATCAGCTGTTATGGTTTGAATTCAAATTTTTGTATTGTTTGTTTGCGCGGCATTTGTGAATATTAAAAAATTCTGCATTTTTAATTGTAACAACTGTAATTAATAAATATTGAAATGGATAAAAACATAATAAATATTTTATTAAGTGATTTAAGTAACACAACACAACCAGAATATAACGTAGTTAATACACTTCGAGATAGTGAGTCTGACGATGATGTAGAATTGGTGTATCGAATGTATATGTGTGTATAAAAAATTATATACAAGATGTTGTTTACAAATATGACGACAAGGAATTCAAAACTCATTTCCGCATTTCGCGGAGCCTTTTTAATTCTTTGGCTATAAAATTTCAAAATAGTACCGACTTTATTGCACTGCGAGTAAGTGAGCTGAACATTTCTCCAGAAGCTCAGGTTGCTGTTTTTTTATGGTTTGCTGGTCACGAAGCATGTTGTTTTAGAGATTTATCAGATCGCTTTAATCTTTCTTTATCGTCAGTAAACCGAGTTATAAGAAGGATGATAACTTTCTTTAGCAACATGTGTCCACATATAATTGCATGGCCTAGCACATCAAAAAAGGAAGAAGCAAGTACATTTTTCCGAAGCTTATGCAATTTTCCAAAAGTTATATGTAAGGATTTATGTGCATATTAACGCTGCATATATATTAATACATGTTACTTTGCAGGTTGCCTAGATGGCACTCGTATAACTATTGATCCTCCTGGAGATCGTAAGGACGACTACATTGACAGAAAAGGAAATATTTCATTATGCTTGCAAGCCATCTGTGATGAAAACAGAAAATTTATTAGCATATTTGTCGGACATCCAGGCTCCTGTCATGACAGTTGGGTATTACAAAACTCTCCTATTTATATGCGACTACCATCGAAGTGTGAAGGTAAGTTCTTTGGAAAAAGAAATGAGATTTATTAAAACCTCTTACATTTACACAATACTATCTACTGACTGATTCCTCATACCCCTGTACACAACACATCATTACGCCATATAAAGACAACGGGCGTCTTACTCGTGCACAAAAGAATTTCAATAGAAAATTGGGGTCAGGTCGAATACTAATAGAAAATGCATTTGGTATTTTAAAACAACGTTTTAGACAGCTGTACTACTGTAAATTAAAAGAAGTTGAAAAACTGTGTCACTTTATAAGAGCATGTTACGTTTTGCACAATCTTGCAAACGAAAACGACTTAGAATTTACATTTTCAGAAGAATCTGAAGAAGATGTCTGAGAATGATGTCAACAACCACATCCCTTTTAGATCAAGTATCGTTAGAGATTCGATTTGTAATGAATTACAAACAGAAAATAACTTGGATTAAAGTGTTTATTTGTATATTGCTTATTTTTCATTAATTAATTTTATTAATATTGCAATAAAGAACTTAATTCTAATTAACATATTAACATCACATTTTATAAATATACTTAATTCTATCTTAAAGTAGCTTTATTACATTTCGTCTGTAATAATAACACAAAATTAAATTTTTTATAATAAATTTATATAACAGCACTCTAACTCACTTTATTAAAACAAAATTTAACTTTAAATAAATTAATTTTAAATAGTATTTAAAAATATTTGGCTTGTTGTTTTGTTTCCGTGGTTTTCAAAATGTGTTTGTCTGTTATTTTTCAATTTCTATTTCTACTGTTTTGTTTTTCAAAAAACAGCTGTTTTCACCGGACTTTACACAAAGCCAAAGAATACTTGTAAAAGTATTCTTTGCACAAAGCTGTTCCATGAAAATTTGTGTAAAGAGCGTAATCTGGCACTTTATTTGTGTTACGCTCTCAGTTTGTACTTTACTTCTGTTTTACTCATGGTTTACTATGTGTAGCTCGTGGAACAGACCTAATATTAATAAAAGCTGTAATTTTGAAACAACTCAAAACATGTCGCAAGCTGATGTCGCTAACATTGGAGCTAGCGACATTTGCCGCAGAGGAGTAAAAGCATTTGCTTTCAGCAAGCGCGATCCAGATCTATATTTCATACAGATGGCATCGCAGTTTCGAAAAGCGGACATAACAACGGATCAAACAAAGTACGACCACGTTGTCAACAGCCTCGACAGCAACACATTGAGGAACATCGCCGATATCATACGTGCTCCACCTACCGTTCATAAGTATGAAGCAATCAAAAGACGATTGATTCAAGATTTCGCGGATTCAAAAAATCGCAAACTACGATGTCTCATGCTAGAATGTCAGTTAGGTGACCACAAGCCGTCACATTTGCTACGAACGATGCGCGATTTGTCCAGTGGCACCATGAACGATGGCGCAATCAAACAATTGTGGTTGGATCGTCTGCCAGAGGCTGTACGAGCGGTTGTGTCCATTTCGGATGTCGATTTGAATAAATGTACACAACAAGCAGATTTAATGCTGAAAATTGGAAATTACAATTCTGTTCCTGAAGTGCATACCAGTGCGAGACATGTAGGTGACAATTCAATTGTGTCTTCTTCCTTCGATGTCAGGCATTTAGTGAATGCTGTGGAAGAACTTAGCGAGCAGTTACGAGAGAACAAAGAATCGCAACACCATTTTCGCTCACGACATAGATCAAACACACCGGCACGAACACAACATTCACGAACGTGTCCGGCAAACTTAAATATCCAGTGTGTTTCTACCATCTACCAGTGTTTTGGCATAAGTGCACAGAAGTGTGCCAAGCTCTGCAGCTTCGCAACCACGGAAAACTAAATTCCGCTTCCTCACCGGCGGTTGGCGAAGCAAACAGTTATTACAAATCCAGCCGATTATCTGTTTCAGATCCCTCGACACAATTGAAATTCCTTGCCGACACAGGTGCAGATTTCTCAATTCTATCCGTTTCGATCTTCGGCAGAACTAAGCCGACAGCATCTGCCAAACTCTTGTATGCAGCAAACGGAAATAAATTGATGACATTGAATCTTGGTCTGCGGCGCAAACTCGAATGGGAGTTGGTCATGGCCGATGTATGCAAACCTATACTAGGAGCCGACTTTCTGCAATATTACGGTCAAGTTGTAGATTTGCAGCGTAAAGTCCTCGTTGACAGCAAAACCAACATGAAAGTTCATTGTGCAACAGCATTACATATGCCAGAGTCAGTATTCGCAGTGAATGCAGATCATCCATTCCGAAAATTATTAGAAGAGTTCAAAGATCTAACAATACCAACATCGTATCACAAGTCTGGATCGGTGAGAACCACGGTGCAATATTACATCGTTACCACGGGACAACCAGTCTATGCACGTCCCGGGCGGCTTAGTTCACAAAGCTTGCAAGCACCAAAAACTAAGTTCCAGTACATGCTTGATCAAGGCATATGCACTCCTTCAAAAAGCGAATGGGCCAATCCGTTACATATGGTGGAAAAGAAGAATAGAACTTGGAGGCCGTGCGGAGATTACAGACGACTCAATGCACAGACAGTTCCAGCCTTCACGGTTTGTTTTTTGGCCATGGTGAATTTTATCGACGTTTCATTCCTAATGCAGCGGTAGTTCAAGGAGAGCTACAAAAACCAATAATAGGAAATCGGAAAAATGACAAAACGCCGATTAAATGGACAAAAAAACCCGAATCAGCAATCGTTGATTATAAAAAAACGCTTGCTGATGCCAGTTCACACCCAACGGTAGAAGCATATCTCATTCTACATGTCGATGTGAGTAATACCGCGGTGGGAGCTGCATTGCATCACATCCGTGAAGGACGACTCGAACCACTTGGGTTTTTTTCAAAGCGGTTGACTAATACACAACGATAGAGAACGACTTACCATTTATCAAGCAATTAAGCATTTCAAACACATAGTAGAAGGCAGGAACTATACGGTGTTGAAAAAGCATCGCCCAGACAACTCCGTCATTTGGATCACATAGGTCAATTTACTACTGATATCAGATATTTCCCTGGAAAAGGCAACAGCGTAGCTGATTTTCTATCGCGTATTGACGGAATACAGGGAGTAAAGCAGATTGACTTTGATCAGTTAGCAAAGAACCAAAGAAGTGACCTGAATCTACATCAACTCTTATCACAGGGTAAGACTTCAGTTCAGCTAAAATTCAACAAAGCATGTGCGACCTTGGATCACAGTTGAATTTCCTAGACAAGTTTTTTACACCATACATAATATATACCATTCAGATAGCAAGGTCACGGCAAAACTGATCAGTGAACGATTTGTCTGGCCAAATATTAAGAGGGATGTAGCGAAAATGGTAAAAACATGTCCACAATGCCAGCGACCTAAAATAGCCAGTCACAACAAAACAGTATTCGATACCTTCAAGGCACCTGACCGGCGATTTGCAGCAGTACACGTTGATATCGTGGAGCCATTACCACCATCAGATGGATACAGCTACTGCCTGACATGCATAGATCGATTTGCATGTGCAGACACAGTAGCTGCGACGTTCATCACGGGATAGGTTTCACACTATGGCGTTCCTTCAGAGATCACTACAGATCAGGGCAGGCAGTTCGAATCAAAGCTGTGCGCTGAGCTTATGCAGTTGATTGGCGCGACATCCAGAACATTCACAGAACATTAAAAGCTGCACTGAAATGGTTGTCAAATCAAAGATGAATGAATTATAAATGAATTACCACTGATATTGCTAGCTTCACGGAGTGTGTTCAAAGACGACATCCAAGCTAGTCCAGCAGAAATGGTATACGGTACGTCTCTTAAGCTTCCAGAAGAATTCTTTGAGAAGATGTCTCACATCGGTTGTCACTCCGAATTTGCAACGTTTCTCAGGGAAACCATGGATCAATTAAGTCCAGTTCCAGGTTCAAATCATGCAAAAGCGAAAATGTTCGTTCAACGAGACCTGCAGAGGTGTTTATATGAGTTCCTAGTTAGAAAATTTTAGAATTTTGAACAGAACATAATAATTGTTAGTAATAATTTATAAACTCTTAATAAATATTAAAAAACTCATATTAAGAGTCAACATTACCTCACATTTTTATCTCGTATACTTAAATTAATTTATTTATTTATGTGTCTGAATTTATTAAGGGATGACTGGAATTTTACAACACATTTCTAGTGAACATTCACAGTAGACATATTTTTGAATTTGTTTGCGCTGAAACTAAACCCTTACAATTTTTTGCAATTAAAGCCTAATTCTGAAGATTTTAAAAGCATTGGTGTCGCTACACATGTTTACATATTTACTTTCGCAGTCCCACCCACGACTTTAAAATTGTTCTCGGGGATTTTAATGCAAAGGCCGGAAGAGAAAAAGTCTTTGGTCCAACTGTCGGAAAATGTAGCCTTCATGACTTAACCTCCAACAACGGTTTAAGGCTAATTGATTTCGGTGCGGCGCGAAATATGGTAGTGTGTAGCACCAGATCTCCACACCGTGATATTCATAAGGCAACATAACTATCTCCTAATTAATCAACACGAAACCAGATTGATCACTTCGTGATTGACGCACGACACGCTATAAGTCGCTGGACGTACGGTCATTCCGTGGTCCAAATATCGACTCCGACCACTACCTTGTCGCAGCCAAGGTACTCATGCGACTTAATACCGCCAACAACGTACTCTTTCGTGTACAGAAAAATTAGAGATCGATAAGCTGAGAGACAGCCGAAATCTTCGGCGCACAAATCTCTAGCCGATTAAACAACCAACCAAGTGTTGTAGTCAAAAATAAATACTTGAAAATAGTTACAGTAATTCAAATCATGGTTATAAGCCACACCGATTTTAATATTTTTAATTCTTGTATGGTGAGTAAGTTTTAGAGATTTTTTTATTGTATTACACAAAAAAGCACAATTATTCAAAATTTCCTTTGTTTATTTTTTCATCTTCTTTGCGTATCGCTTCAGCAAAGAAAATCGAGATCATTGTTTGCTAAAAAGCGGATATTTTTAGTATTCGGTAACACATCAGCTGATTTCTATTATTGTAAAATGTTGAATAAAACTTAAATTTAACATAAAATTTGAAGTATTTGAAAACATAAAAAGTATAGAGAATTTTTGCAAAAAAAATATAAAAAAAAAATAAATAGTAAAATTTTAGTTTATTTATATTAATTTCTTACTTCAAGTACATTCCCAAGCAAACCCATATATTCAGAACTAAGGTGCTTAATTTGTATCAATTATGTTTCGATCCGGTAGCATTATTGATGTCTTAAATACTTTAAAATTTTATGGCGGGAATTAAGTTGTAAACAAATGTTGACTACACTTTGGTAAAAAATGACAAAAATGTTGGAATTACTTCAAACAAAATATCCTTGCCGAAATGAAGTAATAAATGTTATATATCAATTAATCGGAAATGTTGAAGAATCTTTTCCTGCTAACATTTATTTATGGGGACATTCAGGTACAGGTAAAACGTCGATCATTAAGGAATTCATTCGACAAAGTACCAGGAAAAAGCGTTTAAGAACGGTTCATCTAAACTGTGTAGAATGCTATACAACCAAGCTGTTGTTGGGAAACATAATTGAAACTTTTATAGAGAGCACAAATAATGAAACGAAATGTGACACGGTTAATGATTTTGTCAGCTTGTTGCGCCTTATATGTCCGAAAAGATCTAATCCTGGAGAAACGCCGAGTTTTATTATTGTGCTAGATAATGCGGAAAGATTACGTGATATGGATGCAAATATCCTTCCAACATTTCTACGTCTGCAGCAACTGACTGGTCTCAATCTGTGTGTAGTGTTTGTTTCACAACTGCCATTCGAAAAATATTATAGTAAAACTGGGATTACTGATATACAAATAGTACACTGTCCACAATATAATAAAGGGGAAACATTATGTATACTGAGCTCTGATTTCGATGTTACAAGACGTGTTATTCGAGCAAAATTAAAACAACAATCAGTTGAAGAGTTAACCAAAAAATTTTACATTATTGATACCATTACACAAGACTTTTTTAATAATTATTTAAATATATTATTGAGTGTCTTCTATAAGGCTTGTAGAAATTTACCCGAATTAAAAATTACATCACGCAAGTGTTTTGCAATATACATAGAACCCGTACTAGACGGGAGCATAGATATGAAAGATGCATCACGTTTATGGCGTCATGTAACCTCACCTCTAATTAAAGCACTATCACAAGTTTATATGCGCATTGATCAGACAAATTCAAAGGTAATTTATTGAAGTAACTTGTAACAATTATTTTCTTATAATTTTGACTGCATGTTAGATTATTGATTTGGAAAAAGAGACTTCAGTGCCTGAAAAAAGTATACGTCAATTAGCACAATCACTGGAATTACCATATTATGCAAAATATCTTTTGATTGCGGCATTTTTAGCTAGCCATAATTCTCCGAAAAACGATAAGCGTCTTTTTCTCAAATACCATGGAAAGCAACGAAAACGTATGCAAAGCGTTAATGCCAAAGCAAAGGTACCTATTGACATGTCTATATATTAAAATAATACAAATTGTTTATTTATAAAGGTTACCGAAAAGATGTGTACTTCACTTGGTCCGAAATCATTTACTATCGACAGGCTTCTTGCGATTTTCTATTCAATATTAGAGGAAAAAGTTGGGCTTACATGTAATCTGTTGTCGCAAATTTCAACCCTTGTTCATCTCAAACTATTGGCTTTTGTATCTGGAGAAAATAATGTTATGGATGGTTCATCACGTTTGCAATGCACCATTTCTTTAGAACTTGTACTGTATATCGGCAAACTAGTTGGTTTTAATGTGCGTCAATATTTATGTGATTTTATGTAATTAATAGTTGTACGCATCCGTTATTGTTATTTTATTTATCTTTTATTACTTTATATAATTGATTACAATCAATTACTATAACCGTAAGCTGCCAATGTCACAGGCATAATTTGTTATTATTTTCTTATAATGTTAAGTTAAAGATATTCAAATAAAGTTTGTAATCTCTATGGAAAAATTCTATTCATAAACTGATGTGTTTAGTTTCGCAATAAAATAGGTTGCGGTAGTTGTAATGAAGCGGACAGAAGTAATGAAGGTCCTTTTGAATAAAATGTTTGCGCATTAAAATTAAGTTTTATGTTAGAGTTTGATATCTACGTATGTAACTCTTGTATGTATGCTTGTATACTCTTGTATGCTTCATCCAACATTGATTAGTTTCAAAACAATTACCATGTATGGCTAAATCATAGTCGTATTTTTATTATTCTTATATGAGTGACGATTAGTTATAATTTCAAAAGCATTGCTACAAAGTATTCGGAAATATTAATCCAATCCTCCATACTGTTTTTGAAGGTTGACTGCGGTATGAACTTGGTGCTGTGGTAACCCGCTGGAACCTACTTGTATTCCTTTGGTGGGTGTTGAACGGCACTTGGTCGTCGAGATCGACGATTTGCTCTGGGACGTATATTTAGCTGTTCTTGGAATCTCGGTATGAACTTCAACCGCTTCAGTGTATTTTCTTATATGACCACAATCGACTCGAAACGTCTTTCCCGAAGTGATAATTACAGTTCGGGAACACATTAGAGCACAGTTATATCTGGTAAATGCGATGCTTGGTTAGCAACACTTGTAAGTGTAATATCGCAACACAATAAAGAATCGTCTATGGCACTTTTTCGAATTATGAATTTGAAATAATGCTTTTGAATATATAAGCTTTTACTGTAATAATATTTTAAACATCATACATGGTGATTATTCTTATGCAATATGCTACATATGTAGCATATATTATTATTGGAGTTTTTACTAAATTCAATTATTTAATGATTAAGTCATATGATGTGAGAAACGATCTGGGTGACTTCAAAAAGCAGTCTGAAGTTAATAAAAAGGATTCATATTTGATTAATGATTAATATGATAAATATTTTTACAAGACACAAAAATAAAATTTTGGTAGGATTAAGATAAAACTAAAATATTATTTGGTATAAACGCGTGGTAATTAATTATTATATGTCTTAGCCAAAATCAGAAATGAATTGCTTGTACTCGTCCTAAATTCCGATATTGAACAGACAATCTTAAATGTTTCAAATTTTGAACAGAAGACAGACGGTATTACAGAAGACAGACGGTATTACAGAAGACAGACGGTATTACTATCCTATTGATAAAAGAGATTTTTTAAGGGTTAATATTTCTCACTTTTTCCTAACTTCGATGCTTACTCTTCAAGGTTAGTCAAGTTTAATAAACTCTATGGAGTTTTATTGATTGGTATGTTTAGAAATGCAAGGTTTTCTTAAGTTCATAAATTTTTCTTTACAGAAGTTTTCTAGAGAAAATTTTAAATTTTATAAATTTTTTCGCCAATCACTCTAGAAGTGTTTTCTTTTCTTATTTTTATCATTGAGTAAATAAAGGAATCTTATTTTTCCTTTCTTCTACATTAAATATTAAATTCAATTAGTTAATTAGTTAGTGTTTCGTCAATTTAATTGTTTATACTTCAAATGAAAGTAAATATTAAAACTACCTACGAATGTTACGGCAACAGGAATTCGAATCTAAGAATTTGTGGTAAATTCATTTCACTATTGGATTTAAATGATTTTTACAGAAGAATATTTTATCTTTTTCAGAAGTTCTTTTATAATGGTTCTTTATTGAAAGAGTCGTAGATGACTTTCTTTCACGAAACAAGAAAACTTAAAAAAAGAAGACTGCAAAAATGATCAATAATTTTTAATAAGAATCAAATAACGTAACTGGTAAATCTTTAAAGAATTATTGATGTATGACTTAAACTACTTGATTGAATCATTTTTTAAACTATACAGGATTTTTAAGTTTTCATGCGCTTTTTTTTATTATTATATCAAAAAACTATCTTCAAACATCAAGGTACACTTTTAGATAGCACTCAGTATATATTTAATTTGGCTATTTTACTGTTTTGATATTTTACTGTTTTAGTAAAAAATGTAATATTTTTGTTTAAATTAATCATTTATTGGTGGAAAAAAAAGAGAGTCAGTTAATGAAAAAATAAATACAATTTAACCTTTATATCATCTTTCTACTTTTATTGATAACTAATACATAGCAAATGTATAAGTATATAAACTATATGGAGAACAATGTATTGTCTTCTTAAAATGAAATCATGATCGAACTATTTGTAGTAAGTATTGCGCTATCTCAGATATATGAATGGTTTCATTTAAAGTAGTGTCTCGACTACGAATTTTCAATAGACCCGTATTTAAACTATTTTCATTTATAAGGATTGCATATGGTATACCCAAACTGTCAGCATTTTGTATTTCGTTGTTGAATTTTTCAGTACAGTTCGTAAGAATAACGTTATCTGAAAGTCTTAATCCAACTCGCTCCAACACATGTTTTAGATGTCTGCACAAATCACGCAAATCATTTGCAATGTCAACTGTAAATGGAATAAATTAATTTTATACAAATAAAAATTAAATAATATTATATATATACTATAATATATAGGTTATAATGATTAATTATTAGATTAGTTTTGAGGATTTTCGTTAATATAGATTAAATTGCAATTATTTAGTTTTATAATGACAGTGTCATCGGCGTACATATAGACTTCTACTTCGACATTATTTTAATATAAATCTTACTAATGTAAAAAAATTATTATTATTCGTTAGAAATAAAATAATAGCCAGCTACAGAAAATTAAAACTGCCCTTGTTTGTAAAAACATAAATACATAATTTTCAGTTATTCAACTCATAACAATTATTATATAGTATTTCCTTCTCTGAAATCGATAAGAGCAAAGTTTTAGACAGATAATTACTTTTTGTATAAGAAGCATTGGCATTTGCATCTTACCATTATGTAAACAAGCTATAATACACTGATAAGGCACAAGTTTTCTATTAAGTAGAAGTGTGTTAATTCGCTCATTGTCACACCCATCCAAAAGCAGAACTATTAAAAAAAGGAAATTAATAACTATAAGTATTTAACTATAATGCTTACCAGCTGTTGCTGTCTCTACATTTATTACCGAACGAACAACTGCGGGCAAAATTTTGTGGCCAGCATGTTGAGATTTGAAATAAAAATCGTTAGCGTGTTTAAGTGGTACTTCAGATAATGGCACTAGTGTTATAGTCTCCAAACTAGCATTCCCAAAAGAGAATCTAGTTTTAACAGTAGTTGATTGACTTTTTGCAATACCGTCGATACTATTACTTGTACTATTTAAATCATATGATTCTAAAAAATATCGGCTTGGATTAGCCGAATTTCGCATCCACCAAATTTTGCGTTCGCGCTCTATGTTATAAAAATTTTCTAAACCAGTTTCACAATTAAAAAAGTAATCAAATATAATTTGGGTAGAACCTAAGCGGTTCGAAACAAGAAGTATATCGGTGTTTGTTTTTTCAACATTAGTACTGTTTATGCTAATAGTGCGTTTTGATTTAATAATAGCAGGACATCTTGTTAGCGTATTTGTACGTATATGTTTAATGTTATCACGAAATTCGTCACTATTAATAAAACTTGTACGACTGTCGTCGTATGTGTACAATTCGTTTTCCACATAATACTCATTTGGTATTCTAATATTTTTTGTTTTTCGCCAATTTTCAATTAATTGAGTTTTAAAACGTTCTCCGTTATTTAGAAGATTAAAATTTATTACACTGTTCTGAGCATTTGTAGATGATTCAAGATAGGAAGACTTTTGCAGCGCTCGCAAAAGTGTAGAAAGAGATTTCATGCTAAAATGTCAATTTAAAAGCTTTTTTTAATATCTAATATACTCGCGTAATTGTTATCGTCTTGCTCCAATGGTATATTGCCAGGTGGCGAGACAAAATAGTCTTCCTCCGTGACTTTTGCGTTTTGAAGTATTTCTTCTCGATTTCCTTCTGTTGCAGTGTCTTCTCGCAATGCCAAACACTGTTCTTCCAGAACCGTATAAAGCGGAGCCACTCCGTGTGTATTAATATTTGTAATTTTTTCCGCAAATTGAATGCTACTTGTTAGGGTTGTAAGTGCTTCTTTGCTGTCTAAATCAACTAAAGCAAGTCGCTCCAGTAGCTGAATAGTTTGAGCCTCAATTACAACTTCTTCTGTTGTGCTTGAGAAAGAAGTTGTAATTGGCTTCTCAGCGACCTTGCTTGTAAATTGCAATTGACTATAATTAAATTTAGTATTTATATTATTAATAAATTGCTGTTTTGCTATAATTTTGTAAAAACAACGAGATCTTTGTGTCAACCCCAACATTTTCGGCATTGAGTGTAAATAAAATCATCTGTGTCTGTTGCATTATAAAGAAGTTGCCATACTATTTAAAAATTCGTAAGAAATTTTATTTCATATAATTTCGCTAGTCGTGCGCAATTGTGTAGCGAAGAATATATATAATTATTATTATTATTGAGCTTTTTCTCGTTTACATTAGCGCAAGTTAATTAAAGAATGGGAAAAAGCTTTTATGTGTCAAAAATTTTAAGTTGTATAGCTTTTCTTTGTATACATTTTAATTGTAAACAGCTGAAATTAAGCTTCGTATTGTTATATTATGTTCAAACAGACCTTAATTTCAAAAAAACCTAAATTTCATATTCGTTTTAGCGAAATTAAATTTTTTTTCCAAACAAAATTCAGTTTTAAGGCTGAAATTAAGGGACATATCAAATGCAACTATACGTAAGATTTTTAGTAAAAGATAAAGTTGAGATAACGAAAAAGGGATATATTTTTTAAATAAATTTTAGTGACAGTTGACTTTATCAATATGATCAAAATATAATGAAGACACTACAAGTCACTACGTCCGTTAAAGCCCTTTCGTGCGGTTATCCTCTTTCTATCTTCAAAATTGATTGGTCTAGCAACTCTTGGTCTAGTATCTTTTCATCAATCGTGTTTTTCTTTTTCTAGGAGTTTCTTCCATATTGTGGCCAACATAAATAACTGCTTTTCGCTCTCAATCCACATATTCTAAAATCCACATATTCCTTTGTTTTTCCTAATATTAATAATATTTCCTAATAATTAATAATATTAATAATAATAATATTATTTAATAATATTTTATTTAATAATATTAAATAATATTTTATTTTATTGAATTAAAAACATTATAAATGCACCATACAAATTTGTGAGCCCTTATCCATTATCTGTCCTGATATCCAAACGAAATGAAAATTTTTTGTTAAATAATATATGACATTGTATAATGACGTCAAATATATATTTGATACATAAACTTATTTTTATATTTTTAAATATCAATTAAATATTTTATTTATAAAAAAGTTGTATTTTAAAAAATTTTACCACTTGTTGGTTTACATAAGTTTATATTTTGTCTGATTTTTTGTTTAAGTTGTTGTGCTCGCAATAACAAGATAGTTTTTTTTAATTAAAAAACAGTATTTTATTGCAACACAAAACTTTTATTGTTTTCTTCATACAACTCTATTGAAATAATTCAGCGAATTAACATCCAGCGGCTTCGCTGACTTTGGTCACGTCGTGAAAATGGATAAAGGCGCTCCAGCGAAAAAGGTGTTTGAAGCTGTAGATGGCGAAAGAAGACGTAGAGGTAGACCGTGTCTCCTATAGAGAAGACAATTTGAGAGAGCACTAACCGGATTTGATATACGAGACCGGATAAGGCACGCACGCAGTAGAGGCGCCTGGAGAGATATGCTGTGTCAAGCCGAAACCCGGTAGTGGGTTGCTTTGGCCACATAAGTAAGCAAGTAAGGTCTCTTTCATAGAAGTATTCCGAGGTTATCCGTAAATAGTATTTGCCTTTCACCTTGTCATCGATAATTTGAAGCCGCCTTTTGATGCAACGTCAAACTTTACCTAACTGATCTTGTTTACATCAATATACAATATAATTTTCATACGGCAATTTTATCGCAAAGTTTAAGTCGCCTGGTAACTTTGCGTTTGTGCCAAAAACTGTTTTAGCTGCTGTAGTTGATGTAGACCCGTGCCGTGCAGGCCAATACGCGAGTAGGAACATCGGTATGTGTATGTCCTAATGCCTCTGATTTCTGGCAACAACTTTACGGACTAACTAAGGCATCACCTGCACAGCAGTATGGTATCGGTGCTTGCAGGTCACTGCATACTAGAAGGCATACTCTGAGACTGGGTAAATCCTACAATGACTGTCGTGGTTGTGGCTCTGGATAAGGATAAAACTGTGCTCCACCTGATGCATTAGTGTCCATTATTGGCTACGAGAAGCTTCAAATTCATAGTGACCCCTTCTCTTATCGATCTGTCGGATTTGTCATCCTGCAAAGATTAGGACCTAGTCAAGTTAATGGAATCGTCAGGTTCAAAATAAGTGCACGGAGTACTGTCTCCACAGACTTATCTCTGGTTTAGGAATGTTGCGATGTGAAGAATATCAGTATTTAAATATATATACAGTATACGCTCAAAAACGTGAACTAATTAAAACCAAGGGAATTCACGTTATCAAATTGTTCAAGTTTTCGAGTGTCAAACAAGAATAAAAGAAATAAATTTTCATCTTATTGTTTCTTTTTTTTGGGTACATATTAATTTATATTTAAGATATATGGCATGAAAGGAACTTTGAACAAATATTTTATTCAAAAAAAATAATACATCTTTATTTGGGTTTTCTTTTATTTTTAATAAATAAAACACAGCTTTCTCCCTTAGACGTCTAAGTACATTCATATCATTTAAGCTCACTAAGTCTTTATAACGGGCCGACTGTACTGCTTTGTTAAAAAATTTGAACTGCTTTACTTGGTATAATTTTCTCCGGTGCCTCTGAGATGCAGTCTTTGTCAGATTCGTCCTCATATTCAATATCATTATCAGCATCTTCCTCAATATTTTCCTTCCATTCCTGAACATTTGATAAGGCACATTTATTCTGAAATTGTTAATAAGAACAAAATTTTTAATAACTCACATTTCTTTGTATATATCTGCGCTCACGAACAACACTGACTACAATCGACTTCCAAAGGATTTCTAGTATTTTTTAATGTTGTTTTCTTCAGAGACTCGAGCAAGTCAGATTGCGTTGCTGCTATTGAATCAAGAATTCTGTTTCTGTAGTATTGCTTTGTGATTTTTATTGCATTATGATCCATCGGTTGAATGAGGGGAGAAACGTTTGGTGGCATAAACATTGCGAATATTTGCCCATCTTCCCTTGTCAGTTCAGGCTCATTTGGATGGGAAGGAGCGTTGTCAATTAAGAGGATTTTAATTAACAAGTTTTTCTCTTTTAAAATTTGAAAAATGTATACAGCATTCAAAAGAAAGAATCTTTGCCAAAGGAACGAATGACTGATGAAACCATTCTTTGAAAATAGTCGCAGTCATCCAGGTGAATTTTCAGTTTTTATTGTCGGTAAGACACTGAAAGCTTTTAAAGCATCGTGGGTTCTTTGCCTTTCCAATTACTGAAATTTTCAGTTTATGAGATCTAGTGGCGTTTGAGCATCTCAAGAAAATGATTCGCTGCTCTCCGCATTTACACCTGTAGTTCTCTGTTCTAAAGTGGTCACTTAGGTTTTTTCTGGCCAAGGTTTCCAAAGTCATCAGCAGTATATAGCTGATCGTAACACAATTCCAATTCAGCAATTTTAGCTTTAAGTTTTTCTTTAAACTAACTGAGGTTGCGAAGACAGCTTTTCGCTAGATATTTGAAGAAGTCGAATACCGTATCTTTTTTTAAATCCTTGAGGTCATTCATCATTAGCGTAAAAATCAACTTCCTTTTTCTTAAATTTTGAATGCAGTTTTTTGGCTTTTGCTTTCACATTTTTTTTCGCTGACATGACTCCACGTTTTAGGTATTCACGTTTTAGAGTATTCACGTTTTAGAGTATTCACGTTTTCGAGCATACACTGTATATATATATAGACTATAATAATTACATGAATTGTAATTATCAAACAAGCTTTGAGTTTAAATATAAAAATTTCTTAAAATATTTGAAAAATTAAAGAAATAAAATTTTATTTCTTTAACTGGCAGATATAGTGAACAAGAATATATCAAGATGGCTGTGAGCAATGAAACAATTTGTGCCCCCATCAACACTGGAGTAATTTTTTATATTATTTACCGATATACAGCATATTCATAATATGTTTTGTTTGACAGACGACTATAATGGCAATTGAATTCAATTGTGGAGTAATTATTGCTGCAGATTCACGCACTAGTGGAGGTCAGTATGTAGCTAATAGGGTGACAGATAAATTAACTTGTATATCCAATAAAATCTATTGCTGTCGAAGTGGTGCTGCTGCTGACACTCAGACTGTGGCTGATTTAGTTCAGGCAATGGTTTATTATGAAAGTAATAGTTCAAACAGGGATCCGCTTGTTTATTATGCAGCAATGTATTTTCGTAATATTATCTATCATATGCAAGGTGAATTATTAGCTGGCATAATCGTTGCTGGTTATGATGACACTGAAGGTGGTCAAGTTTACACGATTTCACATGTTGGTATGGTGATGCGTGAGCCAATATCTGTAGGGGGCTCTGGATCAACTTTTATTTTGGGATTCGCAAAAGATAGGTATCATGTTGGTATGAAGGAGGATGAATGTGTTGCACTTGCAGTAAGCGGTATGTTAGATACTAAATATTAACTTTATATGAAAGAACGTCAATTGAATGCTTATTTTTTTTCACAGCTATAAAACTTGCACAGAATTTTGATGGCAGCTCGGGTGGGGTGGTACGCATTGGCATTATAACAGCTTCTGGTATAGTACGTAAAATTTTTTATAATACGCCTGAGGGCGAAGAAATTTCAAAAGTTTGCATCGGCGAAGACTGGAATTACGGTTTCTAGCATTCTTCTATATACCTCGATATTTTTAATAGATTCAATAAAATTTAAATTTTAATGTAAAGCTTTTATTTTTTACTCAACTTTAGAACTAATATCTATATCACATAAAAATGAATTAAATCAAAATGAATATTTTGTGGAAAATTCTTTGTGAAGTTTCATATCAATTTGTCGTGCGATGTACTAATGGATGTATTATGGAAACTTATTTTTCATATACAGTATATATATTCGGCATTAAAATTTAAGAGTTAAAATATAAAATTAATATTAATTTAGATAAAACAATAATATTAATCTATGTTTTAATTTACTTTTTTTTTTGTTTTGGTCTCTACAATTTATAATAATTTCAATTGGTATGTTTTTAAGTGGCATTAATGATACAAGAATTTTGGGGCATATTGCTACAATAGTTATCTTATGCCGTTTTTAATTGGCAAATCATGAGGAACTGTTATAATAGTCAGGGGGATGTTCATTTCTAGTGCAATTTACATTTTCGATTGGTAAATCTAGAGCGAAATGTATAAAACTCGAAATTAAATTATAACAGTCTTAATATTTTGAGTAGACAGATTATCCTGAAATTAATAGCTTTTTTATATGACGGCAAAAAAAATGTGATTCGATTCGATATATTTATGGTGCATGAATTATATTTAAGTGGTTGGCAACTCTTGCTCATTTTGACAAAAAAACAAAAAGAACGTTTTTCTGACAGAAAAGGAAAGAATAATAAAGGGCGCCGTGTGCTAAAGTAAAGTATTACGCTGCAAATTCCATTATTATTGCTATATACTATTGTTTATAAATTGTTAATAATATATAACAATAATGTATTTATAATAATAATGTATATGTAAATGTTAAATTACTCTAAAAATGTTCGATTGGGCAACAAAATTTGACAGCTCGGGAGTAAATCTAGATTGAATCCAAATTTATCAATCGAAATCATTGATATCATTGATATAGTTGATAAGAAAATAATTTTTTCTTAAATTTTCAAATTTTTTTATTACATAAAATATTTTTAACATATATTTATTTTTGTGTGGAGATCTATACGAAAATATAGATATTTACTTGTAATAGACGTAAATTCTAACACTTATTATTGAGCAACAATGTTTTGACTAATTTGACGAGGCATAGAAAGGCTTGGATTAGTGACTAAATTTAAACAAAAACAATACAAATAGTCAAATATGAGAAGACTCTTTGTACAAAATGACTTTAAGCTGTGACGTTTTTAATTCCTTTATTTAAATTTGAATAAAATTTGAATGCACACCGATTACAAAATCAAATCAATAAAGAAGATAAACGCACAAGACCATCAAAATTTTTTGATTTCCATCAGACTTGATTGTTTTACCAAGTGGCAATGAAGTACGATGTGTATTATAATATAATAAAATAAACGAGCTATAGATGTGAATATTTAGTCAAGGGTTGCGTCGGTTTCGTAAAGCATAATATAGACGATGGTGCATATTTGCACACCAAATATGCAGACCAACTTTGCACTTTGCTATACACGTTGAAACAAGGTTTGCATACTTCATTTTGATTTAATTTCTACAGCGTTCATAACAACAGCGGAACCAGTACAGATTGCAAAACAATAATCGAAACTGAAAAAATCGAGGTTACGATAACAGCAACATGTTATAATTTCTTATTTTAATTCTTTTAAATTATGCATTTAAATATTTTTATTCATAAAATAATTTATTAAATATATGAACTTTTTAAAAAAAATTTCTTAGTGTAAAATAATTTTTTAAATATATAAACTTCTTTAATAATTGTATGTAGCACTTCTTTTCTTTTGTTGCTTTTAAAGAAAATAAATTTCTAGCACTTTTTCTCAATTACTTTTTTTTGTTTATTTTTTCTCTCTAATTAATCATTTTTTTCCGTGATCTTCGCTCGTCCGATGGTAAATTATGAGAAGTCTGCTGACTTCTTTATATACAAATAGACATGTGTGCAGACTTAACAAATAAATGAAAAGTTTTAATTTTAATGCATGCATGTTTGCTATCCGAAATTTGGTATGCATACTTGAAAGTACATAGTTCGATTTTGTAGCACGTATACTTGGTCTACATACATGTAGCATTGTCTATATCATGCTTAAGGTCCTGAATGTAAAAATTTATTGTATCAAACTGGCATCATTAACTTAATTGAATTCATTTTGACATTTCGAACTGATAAGCATACACCATTATTTTATGTTCCGCGGATTTTAAAATGTCTTTAAAAAGGAAAAGTTATAACGAAAGGTGTAAGTTTGTTTTAAATGCAATACGTATCATAAATAAATAGAATGGGTTGTATTTATCCGCAGGGAGCCACGAGTTGGTAGAGAAGTTTATAGACTCCAGAATAATCCTGAACGAAGTGTTTGTCCAGAAAAAGTGTAACGTACGGAAATGTTGGGAGTAATTACTTATTATATATGTGCTAAAGTGGTAAATAAATATTTATGAATGCATTTTTATCTTTTAGATTAGTTGGAGCCCAATGCGGCTCAAATGAACATTGGTTCAGCCTTAAAAAGCGATGGGAAAATTTATTGCATAAATATAAAGTATGATGTTTTTTTTTACCTAACAATGTGATAATATCTTTTTTTTAGCGTTTAAAAAATACTCCTGCAGGCAGTGGCAGTGAAGGCGCTGATAATGCAAGAATGTGGCCATTCTATAACAGAATGCACAGTTTTTGTACTCAAAACATTAATATCAAGCCGGCATTGGTAATCAACAGCGAAGAGACCATCCCAGAATCAATTGATGCAAAGCCATTAAAGACAGCATCTTCCAATTCTCAGACTCCCCGGCATTCCACTCTTCCACTACATCAAAGCAACCAAGCTATAGTGCAATCATCTTTACGCACCGATAGAGCACTGAGAAAGGCATCACGAGTTCTTACTAAGTTTTTGGAAATACATTTTAATATTGAAGTGGACACTTCGGAGTCTGATTAAAGAAATAAATAGTTGTAATCAATAATAAGGAATTCATGAATTTATGTAGCTATTATTATAGTCGACAGTGTTACTGTGTCTCTTTTTTTTTATTACTATATTTGGTCATTTTATTCATATTATATTTCAACGTAAGAATAAAACAAAAAATTTAAATAACCTCTATAGTATGTGTATTTAATTTCGAATTTTTTCGAAGTTAGGATTTCTACCAATATTAATCCATTCATCTTAAACTTATAATATAGACATGGACTTACAGCAATTTTAATATAGAGTTTAATTTTATGCGAAATAAATTCTTTTTGTAAAGTTTATCAATCTTTTACATCAATACTTTTCTTGCCTTAGCTGAACTGGGCGTCGTGCTGGCTTAAAAAGTCATCAGAATGTAGGTTAAATGAGAGTATAGGTAACCGATACTCGTTTGTAAGGAAACACTTTATAACAAAGAAAGAATATATTAATTTAATTGATGTACAAATAAATATTCAAAACTATTTGAACTTTTACTATTTGTGAAATATTAAAGGTAAACGAATAAAATTATCCTATTATATTAAAGTAGTACTAGTAGCCTAGCTTAGTAGTACTACTGCCTAGCACGCTATTATAGTAAACAAGAAGACTAGAATATATTATAGTAAACTATAATAGTGTGCGCTATTGATTTCCAAAATGGAATCTGTATGTTTACTTAAAGCTATTTCAAAGATATTAGATTTATAGACTTTTGAAATAAAAAATTTGTTCCATATTATTTAAAATATTATTGTATAGACCGAAGACAAATGAACATATTCAATCTCTAAGCTACATAATCCGTAGACTTCATTAAAATAAATAGTTATATTTTATTGTAAGCTTCAAAAATTTTATAAAAGTAATAAAATATTATATACATATTCTTTTATGCATTGTAATGAGTATTAGAAGATATTTAAAACCCTTATTTAACTGCATTTTTGATTAAATAAGCTTATATTATTCGTTTTATCTGAATCCGGTTGTGCTACATCGATAATACTTGTCGCCAGTTCATAATAAAATTTCAGTAACATTTAACATTACTCGACATTATTCTTAAAAAATGTTTAAAATTACTAATCTATATCAAAATTTTAAAAATACTGACTGAATTTATATCACATACTTTGCTAAAGGTTATATGTGAATTTAAATATATGTACATTCGTCAGTGTAAATATTAAAAAAATTATAATAAATACGTTTTATAATCACATTCATATATATAAGTATATCCAATATTTATTGATCAATAATTTTTTATAAATACTTAAAAATTATCCTAAATTCTACGAGCCATTTAGTTTGGACTTGCCAATTAAAACATGCCGCCGTATGGAGCACCGATACTATCCATGCCATCACCCTTCATAGCATAGCCAAACATTGTCAAGTAATTTATTAAGTTCCCAAGTATAGTTAGATTGCAAGCTAACCAAGTAATCTGTGAAACAAAGCCTTGTACATATGTAAATAAAAAATTTAATACAAAAACAAACCACATGACTGTGAGCTAGTACGATAGGAAGTGCAAACGCACTTAGAACCATACCAGCTGTCAAGAAAAGTGCAAATTCCACTTTAGGATTTGTTTCACCACCCAATATCCCTTGCTTCATGGCAAGCACAGGAAGGACAGAGAGTACGTAGAAAAGCAATACAAAAAATGGATAAAAGATTTTTGGATTCGGTACAGCACAAGCGAGTATTAAACAAGTCATTCCCAAAACACACATAAATGCAGAGATAAGGAGACTGAAATGAAAACAAAATCAGTATAAATAATTTTCTTTGTTTACAACTGATTCTTTTTCGTATTACTTACGCTGTTTATAGTTGATTTTGGTGAACATATATAGTACGTACATAAAGAGAATACAATTAAATTATTTGCATAAATTATGAAATATAAATTCTAACTACCTTTAGAACCAGCCATTATAAATTAATTGTTACCTAAATCCTTTTTTTAAATAGAAAACTTAATCACTCAATTCACTGCTGATTCGCAACAGAACGATGTCATATTAGATTTTGTAAGAAAGGGAGCAGTATAGAAAACAATTAAATAAACGAATAAGATAGAGGTATTTGATAAGATTTGTAAACGACTTATTATAAGGGCAAACATGTTTTACAGCTTGGTCCAATAAAGATGAATTATTTTTATTATTTTTATTATTTTCTATTTTAATTTAAAATTTTAAGATATATGAAAATATTGCCAATAGCTAGCATTTTCTTTGAATTCAAATTTATATGCATCTGTTCATGTCAATCATGTCGTTAGGAAATCATTTATTTGTCTCAGATATTTGAATTTATCTGCTAAGTATACCCCAGTTATCATGCGTGGCTTATTAATCACATAACTAATAATACCTATAATTACTTATGCCGCGTTCGTGTACTCTAAACTTGACTGCGAGTCCCTTGCTAAGTTGAGAATTGTAGTAAATATATAAAAAATAAAATAAATCTGCAAAAATATTTGAATTATTAATCCTAAACTTTTGTTTATTATATGCTTTTGAACTTAATTAAAATTCTATAGTAAATAAATAAAAATGAACAGATTTTAATAGAATCATCGTACGACAGTGAAAGTAACTTTTCTACTCCCTTTTTAAATACTAGTTCAAGGGTATTAAGCTCACGGGATAAAAATATTGGAAGTTTTATAATCCAAATTTGCATAATAATTATTAATTTTAAAAATAAAAATAAAGAGCTTCTTTTAGCCAAAGTCTACTTCTTATTTGTTGTTTTGCTTATATTGCACCGTAAAATATGTTCAAATCGCATTGCCAAAGATATTTTGCAAAAAATACGTTCAACTTTTATGTTGTATTCCAGATTGAACCAGAACGTAAATCAGTTCATTTGCTGGTCCACCCCGTTGTTGTTTTGCATGTGATTTGACCGGATCACTGTTTTCTGAAGCGTAGCTATAGCCAAACACATAAGGCATTAAATTATTTACTAATATATCTTAAATCAATAATATATAAAACGCATTGTACTTTACAGGAAATATTTGCATTGTTTTTTTAAGATATTAAAAGTTGTAACGAACCTTTTTCGCGAAGAGGCTTAGCGAAGATGTGCTACGATATGTGAAGTTTGTAGTCACGAAGGGAAACCAATGCATTTGTGATTGAAACGTAAATTTCTATTCACCTATAGAGTTTAGTAGAAGTAGAGATGTAAGTTTATACTTCTTTCGCAATCAGCACTTAGTGAAACGATATTGATACAAGCTTGTTGCTTTGCTGACTGCTTTTTTTTAAAATAGGTGGAAAGCATTAACCGCCAGTGTGTGAGCCTTGAACTCACTAAAACTACCTTTTAGGAATGATTGTAGAAGATTGCAGCCACGTTCAGCGGCTGCAATCCTATTCCAGTATTGAAGGACAGAGAGGAGAATAGAGGGACTTAATATTTAGCAAGCTAAATAATTATAAGCCGTAGATAGACGTATTCAGTAAGGGGCGATGGGATTATGAATGAAGGGGCCTCGATGTAATCTGTCTCGTCTTTTATACCTGAGAAGTGTAATTTAGTATAGCTGAACGGTGTTGTTTACAATTTTTTGCCTAAATCAATTTTGTTAAATATCACGTTATTATTAATTTGAGTAACAATAGCTATGTTTTAGGAAATACTGATCCGTTCAATTTACATGAAAAACAATAACAATCACTTAAACTGATTATAATTATAAGATGCTCAATATTTTCATGCTAATGCATTTCATCTCCTGAGCTTAATACACTTGAAGCAGTGTTTAAAAAGGGAGTAGAAGACAATGTGAGTGTTGTTCAATGATTTTATTTACTACAGAATTTAAGTAAACTTTTAAATAATAAATAATGAATTATGTATTATTGTTGCTGGTATAGCTACGCTTTCTTTATAGTTACAAAGAAGCGATAATTATACTTAGTCTGATGATGAGATAAATAATAATCCAGTCAAGGACAAAGAGGGGTTTTGAAGAAACCTCGAGTTAATAAGAGTAAAAGTGCTCATCCACTACTCAACTTTCCTCAAATAATAATAATAAACTTTTATAGAATTTTCGAATAGCAAAGAAAGAAAGAAAGGACAAACACAAGAACAATCTAGTCCACTAGGTATTAAGCCTATCTATTCTCATCTCTCTCCCCTGATTACTGGAATGAAGTTTCCAAACTGCTGTGGAAATCTTCTCAATTCATTTCAAAGAAGTTGTTTTAGTGGATTCAAGTCATACACTGTGGCTTTCGATGATTTCCACCTACTGAAAAATAAAAAAAAAATGTTCTAATTCTAATTGATGTGCTCTTAAACAATAAGATGTTATGTTGCTGAAGTTTTTAATTTTATCGAAGATTTTAAGTGTTTAAATCCTGTGGATTGTTTAACTGCATATACATTCTACAAGTGTTTGTTGGTTAAAAGAATGAAATACATATATGGTTTTTAACAAGTTTATGAAATTTATGTATTGGTGGTGCTCAGTACAATTAATGTACAGCTATGGAAGCATGATTTTTAATTTTGAATATAATTATGAGCATAGAGTTAAGTTTTTAGAAGCTTATTGTTTGGTCAATACTTCTGAAACTGATCAAATATATATGTAAATAATTTATGTCTCCAAGAATGTGTTGCAAATTACATAAAAAAGTTAAAGTATTCTTTTTATTTAGGTGTAACGAATTTACTAAAAATTTTAGGACATCCATCGGAAGTATCGCATTAATATATGTTTCACTGTACTTAACATATATTATAATTGAGTGCTCTATATATAAGACAATATTTTCAGCCCTTTATGTGAAATATGAAGAAAATTTTTTAGAACTTATGAAAAAGTTCAATGAAGTTCTTGCAAAATGAATGCGCATGGCATTTGAATTTGAACGTACTTCATTGATGAAATTTGGCCTATCCCATAGAAAAATTAGTTCAATACTACATTTCAGAACGAAAGTTATGTTAAGGAAGCAGATGGAGTATTATAAAAAGCCTGCTGCAGCCACCTGCTGGCTGCCGCTTACCAGTGCCAGTGCTGACATGAATACCAAATTGCAAAAATTTCGAAGCTTTCGTAATTCTAACGCATGCGTCTTAATGGACTATTTAAGTTAATGTCAGTTACCCTCGTTCTTGGCTGTAACAGTGCGGGGGTGGACTTTACCTTTCACATTTTGCGTCACAAACCAAACTAAGCTAACATTTACTTGATACGACAAAAATAGTTTGACAAGAGACGTTGAAGACCTAAAACCTATTCTTTCCGAACAAGTGTACACAGTTTGAACTGAAATAACGAAAAAACTGGATTAATTGAGCAAATATTATTTTAAATAATAAATCCTAAATTGAATAAATTAGTGTTTTTTTTGAAATGAATATATGAAATTTTGGGATTGATTAAGTACTGAAAATTGTTCGTAAAAACTATACATATGAGATAAATAAAATCGATACGAATACGCCACAGTGAACAGTTTTCAGGAATCATATACATATACATATGTATATATATATACATACTCACCGCAACACATACTCAAGTATACATTGAAAATGGCCGGCCATATGGAACTGTTGAAATTTATTTAAATAAAACAAAGGCATAATAATTGAACGAATTATCAAACAGAATTGAATTGTTAATACAAATTATTAAGCTTACATATAAATAAGCAAGTACAAGTATAAACACATAATAGCGTTCGCAATATGTATCGCGTTGGTTTCGTTACATTAACACTAGTTGGAATGGTGTTGCTCAACATAATGGCGCTGTGTGAAATGTCGGTATACCCAGGTAGGCTAAAAATAGAATTTGCAGTTTACTGCGCTTTATTTTTTCACCAGTTTAGGAATTGTATGTATGTATGTATGTATGTATGTTTGTGTGTGCGTGTATGCCAGTAAATATTTTTACTGTATTACATATAATGCAAACAAAATTTTGTGGATTTACAGATAGTTCAAGCAACTTAGCCTTAACACCCATAATAGCAATAAGTAACATTTTTCAAGAATTCTCCAACTTCATTCAGTTTTTCCACATTTTCTCCTCATCTATGCATACCTACCTACATTGAATTTTTTTTCGTTTTGCTATCTAGTTTAGGACTTTTCTTCTTTACTCGTACTTCGTAAAAGTTTTCTGAGTGGGTGGAAAATTTTGGGTCGAATAAATTATAGTGTAATTAAGATTCAAGTAAAAATAGATAAATTTTCAACAAACTTCACTATAAAAATAGATTACATTTTTTTTATATATAGAAAAAGAAGAAAACTAACACATATTATTTTTTTATTATACATACATTGCCATATGTTTACGATTAACTATAATAATATGACTTTCAGGTTTAAATTGAAATTAGTTATAATATGGAGAATGTTCAGTAGAATGTTTCATTAGGTTTAGTTCCTATCACCTATATGTACAAATATATATATAAGTTCTCAAACGCAATTAGTTTTCTTAACCTTTGTTAAAAACTTATTAAGCTAATGATATACCTATGTAGCTTACTAATGATATACATATGTACTTATTTTATAAGCACATTGACACAATTCAAGTTAATACTTAAATGTTTAATTTTTCATATACGATAACTTATAAAGTTTAGTTATTTTAAAATTTTAACGTAGGATAAAGTATAATAAAATAGGTTAAAATCGCTTTAAATTATATTGAATAATTTGCGTATTTATTTCAAGGTCTACGTCGAAAACCTTTGCACCAATCGTTGCAACAATCGTTCGATGTACCCTCTGACTTTCTTGCCCAATTAATGGAGGAGAATGCACGACGTCGATTACAACAACAATTTATACAACAGCTCGAATTGATAAATATGAAAATGAATAGTCAACGGCAGCGACAAGAACAATGGGAGAGATACCGCCAATTGCAGTTACAACAGCAACTTCGACAACAACAAATGTTGCAAATGGAGGATTCAAATGAAAATGAAAATGAAAATGAAAGTGAGACATATGGTAACGATAATCTCATAACAGATGATGATGAAAATAACAATAATCAATATGACCAAATGGATAAATCAAATTCAGAATTTAGTTTCAAATATTCGCCTTCAAGTTACAATAATTTTAAAAATGTTAATATATTCAGAGAACGACCACCATTTGCAGTTGGTCCTACCGACCCACGTTTTTATGAAGCCGATACTAGTTTCGATGAAAATGATCAGATTGTAGATAATCGCGATGATACTAAATCAGATGAGCTAGATTCACGTGCGTTAGAAGACTATGAGGAATATGTTCCAGCAGACACAAAACAAGTTAATGAAAAAACTGATGTCAGTAGTAAAGTTGATACTACTGTTTCTGATAAAACTGACTCAGTGAAATTAGCACCTGCGCCTGTTGAAACAACAAAAGTTCTGGATAGTTCGGCGTCGTCTTCAACTACATTTCATCGTATAAAACCACAAACAGCTGCTGCTGCTGCTGTTGCTGGCATTACGGTTGGTTCAATGAAACCTGCTATTCCACAAAATTTCACCCATACAAAAAATGTTCTACTGAGCAAAATTCAAAAGGATGGAAAATCAATTTCTTCACTCAATACTAATAATGAGATTGCAAACCAGGAACAAGACCAAATGGTCTTACGTCAACATTTGGGAGTAGATGCTGACATGGGTAGCATGTATTTGGTAGCGCTCATCGCTGGAGTTAGTGCAGCCCTTACAGTTGGAATCGTTGCTCTTGGCATAACATGGTACACGTACGTTAAATTTTAATAGCTATTAACATTTTGTTAACTTTTAATTTTTTTCTTATTCACTTTAACCATAAAGGATGCATAATAAAACAAAGGCAGCTGCTGATGTAGAATATCCTGCGTACGGAGTAACAGGACCAAATAAAGATATATCACCATCTAGTGGTGACCGTAAATTAGCCCAAAGTGCACAAATGTATCATTATCAACACCAAAAACAACAAATTATTGCTATGGAAAATCGGCAGGCTGATGCAGGTAACTGTGGACTATCTGATGTAGAAAGTGATGATGATAATGACGAGGAGGGCGATTACACTGTATACGAATGCCCCGGATTAGCACCAGTAATATAATAGATGAAATTTTTTTAATTTTTAATTCATTTATAATTTTTCATAGACTGGCGGTGAGATGGAAGTGAAAAATCCATTATTTTTAGATGAGACGCCATTAACGCCATCTACAGCAGTACCACAACAACCACAGAAAAAAATTCCAGGACCAAATAAAACAAGCACAACTACCGCAACCTCAACAATTGGCGAAGAAAAGAAGTCCAAAAAAAGTAAGAAGTAAAAACACTAATTGGATTTGGCAACTGTTTTTAATTACAGAAAATAATATTCAATATGTTTTCCTAAGATATTTTAAATGATTTAGTGTAACTCAATCATTTACAATACTATAAGTGAACATTTTTAAATACTACAATTTACAAAAAATGACTGGAATATGATTCCTAATTCAATTTGCTTGTAATATGCTTATGTGTACTTCGAAAACTCTTCCTTAATCTTTAGTATCTTTACTATAACCGACAAAAAGAACACTAACATGTCTTTAAATGTAATCACGACTAGTAATATTAATAAAAATAATTTTTATATACCTTACTTACTCAAGTAACTAAAGAAATTATTTATAAAAATTATTTATATCTGAACGAATTTAAATTTGGTTTAAACTAAAATTGATTTTTTTTAAGTTATTAATAATTAATATTTTTTTGAAATATTATCATTATTATTAAAATAAAAAAACAAATAAAGTAGTAACTAAAAGCTGATGTGCTCGGAAAATTCAAATCAATAATTTTGAAATTTATGTGAACGTTAACAATATAATAACCTTTTTTCTAATAATGATTACAAAAATGGAATGATTGAGTATGTGAATATTTTTTAGTATATATAAAATGTTTGTCTATTTATTAGTATAAAATATATTTATCTAGAAACTATGCTACATATTTATGTAAACATAAAAATAAGTGAAATAAATACTATATATATATATAGGTATATTATATATATATAAAATTAAACAGTATATACAAATGCATTCAGAAAAGCATTCTAATGAACTACTGATTTTGGGCGTAACTTAAGAAAATTATATGAGTAAAAAATAACAATGCTAAAAGAGCTGGAGATAAATAAACTAACTTGTATTATCCGGTAGTAGAACTCTCATTAGGAGGAAAGAAACGCTTACAAATCATCTCTAAACAATACATTAAGGTTCGGTGCACACGACGATCCTAACTCGCTCAACACTGCAACTCTATCACCTTTGTTGCGAAAGCTGCAAGTACGAGTAACTGGACTCGCCGGTCACGGGGGTTAATGTGCTCTATACAGTATGATTAAATCTGTATCACAACCGCAAATAGTGTAGAGTTGCATTGCCGTACATTTTAAGAATGGTCGTGCATACTGAAATTAATAGTGATTGTTTTTTTTTAGAAATCTATGTCATAAAAAAATGTTATATAGATAAACATAATTGATGTGTGCGAATTTAAATTGCTAACAATTTTGAATTGCATTATAGAGTTTATTTTGTCAAATTCCTAAACTACCTATAACTTTTTAACTTTCTTACGCTTTGTGATCATATATATACATGTATATGTAAATTAAACTATTTCTCGGTGTCAATTTAAGGAAAACAATTATAAATTTTAATGGAATACCAACTAAATCAATGTAGCTTATTTTATATAAAATCATATTTAAATGTATATAATCAATTATCAATTATTTAGTTAAGTAAACATAACATTCAGTATAATTTACAACAGAGACACGTACTCATTGTTGCGTATTTATTTACAATCATTATTATTATTTATTTTTTATATATGTCTTATAAATAAAATTAAGTTTTTCTATAATATAAATATTTTATTATATTTATATTTTATATTTTATCTTTTTAACTTAAATTTTAAATTTTAATTATAGTTCTGTTTTGATGGAATTAAAATATTATTTACAATTTCAAGTAAAAAATTTAAAAACCATTTTATATTAATAAAATTGTGTATATCAAATAAAAATACTAAAAGTATGTAATAATATAGTTGTAAATAGCTTTAAATATATAATATAACAGCCAGGGGTGATCTATTTTCTGGTGTAACATATTAAACATCTTCAATTAAAAGAAAAACTATACTAATGACTGAAAGTATATAGAATACCTAACCTTAATGTATATCAATTAAAGATTAAGGAGTAAAATGCATTAACAGATTAAATTATTTTATTGAAAGTTGAATATCATAGATCAAAAGAAGATAAAACGGTAAAGACTTAAATGCAATTTATTTATATATATTAAAAATGAATGGCTCTTAATTTTATTATATTACTTTTATGTATATATATGTATGTATATATGTATTATTGTTATAATTATTTTTCTTCCCAATGTATATATAAACTAAAATTCAACATAGCTGGAAAATAGGTTTAAATATAATAGTTTAATAAACACGGTAAAAAAACAATAATAGAATCTTTTGAAACTAATTTATTTAAAATATACTTAAAACATGCCTTACATGGTTTCTTTGTACAAATATTTGAATGAAACTTTGTTTACGAACACCCTTAAAAATATTTAAAAATTTTACTTTATCCTACGTCAAAACAACTAATGCAGCTAAAATGTATATATTGTACGAGTATGTTAAGTTTTTTAAATATTTATGTAAGTTAATTGGGTAAAGTTTAATTTGATTTAAAAATATTAATATACATATATATAATAATAAACAACACTAATAACAATTATTTATTACATATACGATTATATGAAATTAATTGATTATATGCGCTACATTCAATATCAGAAAACCTAAAAACATTCGGGAATATAAAACTAAAATATTTACTAAAAACGAAATAACAGATTCAATTAAAATCGTATATACATTGGAATAGAGTGCAAATTACAGTAAATAATAATATAAGTAGAACATACTATATAAAAACTTCTAAATGCACATTATACAAATATATTAAATATAATAAAATAATCCTTAACCTACTAAACCGAGTTTATTATTATTATGTTGAGGCTAGTTGAGTCAGTGTATTTGAGTACTTTTACTCTATATTAATTCCCCTCTCTACGCCCTTACTGGATTATTGTTTATCACTTCATCAGCCTACGCAATAATTGATCTCAGATCTGCATACCTTCCCGAGGAGCCTGTAACCATTTTGAGATTCGATAACGCGGTGTTGGTAAGCCAGTTTCGTCAGTTGTCAGTTTTCGTAAATACTTTTTTCAATACAACGAAGCACAGTAGTTCAACAGTCAATTTAATTGATCAAAAGTCCTAAAATTTCAGGACGTATTGACAAATTCTTTTATAAATATTCTAATTGGTCCAAATACCAAAATATATGTAAAACTATTTGTTATTAAGGAGTCGACAATAGTGTAAAGTTGGGTATTTTTCTAATTTGAAAAAATAGAACATAGGTAAAAGTCAAGTACGGCTTTGTGTCAGTTGGTTAAGGTGTGCTGATTCCGAGTTTCAAGTTTGGCAGGTCACGAGTTCAATCCCTGGTACTTGCAGTCTCAAAAAAATTATTTACGAATAATTAAATACAAGAATTATTTTCAAGACCACTGATGATGGGTATTTGGCAATACTCGAAACAGCTGTATGGTCAGCCAAAAATTCAATTAATTAAACTAATATAAAATAAATTTTTGTTATTGTGGTTCGCTACTGTTGAAAAAACCTCTTTAAAAAATTGAATGTTTTTTAATTTTTAAGCAATTATACCAAACATCCTTAAAAACCATTGATTTAGACTTTTTAATTATTTTTTGTTAATGAATAACATTTCTTTAAAAAAAATTGTTTAAAAAAATATTTTATTGTTTCAACAATTATATTATTATCTTTAAAAGGTCAGGACAGGCTAATTAGAAGAATCTATCGTCCTATTGCTGAACTGTCTATTGTCTGGCTTATTAGATTCGTTAGAGCTTTGTAGAGATCAGAGTCTTGTAGAGCTAAATTAGAATTCTGTTCAAAAGGACAGATACAATAGTATGGTTTTAAAATTGAGTAAACATTTAAAATAAAATTAGAGGCAGGGGGAGGGCGCTCGCCTACCCCTCAAAATGTTATTATTGTTTTGAATAAACATTTAATATCGTTCACAAGAAAAGTTTAAAATTTGTCTTTTTTGTGAACAAAATCTAATTTTCAAGTTTTCAATGAACTAGGGGTGAAATATACTAGCTAACATAATACAAGCCAAAAAGAAAAAGAAAAAAGTACTAAAGTGGGGTGCCTTAGCACACTTTAAAATATATAATAATATCATATCAGTATAATTTCGGACCTGGGTACACCCATGCTTAGGGTCATGTTATGTAGAGTGTCATGATCTCGTCAAAACAAAAATTATTGTTGCTTTCAATGCAAATTAAAAAACTAAAAATGGGAGAAAAACATATGTCGGCTAAAATTTGGTCATGAGAACCGAGACTGTCTGTGGCTCGTCACAAAGCAGTGTTATTCAGTAATATATGTTATGTCAACATTTCTGTCTTTTAGAAGCAAATTATTACAATTTCTGTGAGCCTATGCATAACATGCGTTTTCGTCATTGCCCAAAAGAGCCAATTTTCACGAATACATGACCCTTTACATAACATGGCCCTAAATAAAATTTTAATGGTTTAAACTACTTCTTCTGATGCCAGTTAGTTTCTTAAGCACTTTTACTCAACAGAGTTTGTGACCATTTGCACTGTAATAAGAGCTTCATAGAGTTTTGATAATAAGTTATTCAGATGAGTTTATAGAATAAGACTTTGAAGGCCACCATATCTTTCTGACGGAATATATATAGCATTTGATTTGAGAGAAAGCAATTCTGACTTAATGTGCGCTTCTACAGAATCGAACAATTTCAGCGTCCTGCCTTTGATATACTTCTGTACATTCGCTCAAGTTTTTGTGAATGTCTTCATTTCTGATGTATCATGAAACATTTAGCATTAAGTTATCTTAAAAGTCAGTTTCTTGACCTTATATTCTCTAACCAAGTGTATCTTTTGTCAAAACTTAGACCTAACTATTTTTTATTGTCATCCCCTTCTCTTTCCACATTATTATCATCCCTTCGATTTTGATTTTTATGTATTGTATGTTTTGATTTCTATGTATGTTAATTACATAGCATTCGTCTTTACAGCATTTACTATGATTCTCCACCTTCGAAAGTAACTCATTATCTTATTAATACGCAGCTCTAAATTGCTAGCAACAGAATTAGCATTTTTGTTAGCATGCATAATGCAGATATCGTTAGCAAAAAGCGAAATTGTGTTTACAGATTCCAAAGATAAATCTGCTATTGACAAATTTATAGGTCTCCAAGACACTAAAAGAGAGTACTGCATTAATGATGTCTATGTTTCTTTTTCAGACTCATATTATAAATTCCACCTAATCCCTCATTAAAGCGCTGATTTCTTCCTCAGTTGTTAAAGGTTAGCTTCCAACTTCCGTTATTAATAAAATTACAGTCGCCATTCTATTCATTTCCTCCTAATTTTGTTTATTTTCAACTGTTACAGGATTGAGCATAAATTGAATTTCTAATGATTTTGCAAAACCTTCTGCTTTTTCAAAATTGGAGATATAAAAGAATTTGTTTTCAATCGGAAGTACTTTCTTAATTTCCAGATTTCCAGACGGCAATGCCACCCGCCTCGATATAATTTAGTAAATCGCCCTATTTTTCCTTAAACGATTACGTTTTCAATTCTCTCAGCAATCTCAAAATGCAATAATGTGTGAACGAAAAAATTTTCCCTAAAAATATATCTTATATGAAAGTTTATTTTTATTTGCATATCTTATCAAAATCTTTATCAATAAACAAGTTTCATAATTATTAGGTAAATTAGATAAAGTGAAAGCAGGTACTAATACTGACAGTTGAGCAGCTTTAAATATATCATATAAAAAGATATTAATATTTTTGGGTTGGAATTTCTGTTTCGTTAATTGAAAATAAAACAAAACCATAAATTCAATTTGAAAAAGTATGTATTAGATATCATTTCAGCAAAACCAAATAAATGTGTAAACAGAATAATCAGATGACATTTGGACTATCGAAACTCCCTCATCAACAAAATACTACAGACACAAATTTATTATTGCAGTGTTTACTATTTTTAAGGAATTGAACATATATTTTTGTAAATAAACATACCAACTGTTATTTTTCAATCGGGATTGCTGTCTTATATGACGTGTAATTTGATTTAATATATATTTTTGAAAAATATAAATGCTTACTACCAGAATTACAAAAATGTTGAATTACTTTTAAAGTAATGTCATTTCCATGTCGTTTACACTGGCCGCATGTGACTCATTCAAACCAAATTAGTGATTTGAAAGTGTTTACATTCGTTGTAATTCATTTGTTCTCATTTCAAACAGCAGATTTGTCAACGTGCCTGTTGATTTGATTTTTGGCCTGTGTCCAAAAAATGTTGGATAAAGGTAAAACCTTACAATATAAACTGAAAACTTATTTTTAGCTTCGCTTAATCACTTTTTGGGAAGAAGTTCCATTAGGAGGTGCATCCTTTTCAAGGAAATGCAAACATCAAATATTTGTTTATTCTTTATTATATTTGTTTGTCAAAAACAGCTTTCTCAAACAATCAAAATGTCATAAAAATCTTTTATTTAGGGTGTGTTCAATGTATTCATTTGCATTTCGAACGTAACTGGAACTTATTTGTACAAAATCAGCAAATGGAACTCATTTGCGCATATGTGATATTGTATACGAAATCAGTCATTTGCTTCTCATTTGTGATTTCTGACCCAAATCAGTTATTTGAGGCCAGTGTAAATGTCATATAAATCTAGATTGAGTCCAATTTAATCAATCAAAAATGCTATGTCTGCTTGATAACCTCTTCAATTGAGCTTATTAATTGTAATAAATTTATTGTTATGATTTGAGTGTAACAACTATTGAATTTCTTTTAATTAAAATTCGTCAAAACAGTTTGTAATATGTATTATATAAACCGATTCAACATGAACGTTATATATTAATAAATATATAAGCGGTATTCAAGATGTCTGTGCGTCGTTGTATGTATAAAATTATTTGATTTTACAAAAACAGTTTCCTTTCTTATGATTCTGCACTTGATTTGCAAGACAATATTCAAAACCATATTTTCAATACCAATTATCTCTTGCTTTGTATTTATTTCACGTCAAACACTGTCGGACAATGTCAATATATTCTGCTTTTCACTTTTTCTCGGTATTGTTAAAATTATGCATATCGAATCTGAGTTATATTCTACAAGTTAATAAATACGAAAACAAAAATCAGCTGTTCTAAATATTTTCAAGACTCTTATGCACAAAATGTATTCACGATTATTTGAGTTTGCAATGATGCACATTCAACGTTGTACAGACATTCTGAATACCCCTATAATAGCAATAAAAGAATGGATATTGTCTGGCAAACTAGCTACATATTGATGCCAAGCAATGATTGCTGGTGTAAACATACGATATAGTAAATTTCAAAACTTTTGTCGCTTGCCACACTGTTTATAATACAACTCTGGTAGTATTTGGTGTTTGCTTCACATAAATTATAGAATTTAGTAATATAAATAGTTAGTTATTCTCGTGAAGTGTTGTTTTTATTGTAAGGATAAGTTAAATAAATTAAAATATTTAATAGATTAATAAATGTGTAATAATTATAAAAAATATTTAGATTAATTTATTGAGAATGTTTTTAATGACCAAAATTTAATTACATAAATTCTAGCTGTATTGGAATGCGTTGATTATAGTTTCTAATAAAAATCAATTGTATTTTTCTTGGTGAAGTATGAAATAAACGGTATATATTAAATTAATGCACTTAAATGATAATTCCATTCAAACGAAAATAATTTATCTAATACCGAAGAAAATTATTCAATTACAATAAAGTGACAGCAATAATCTAAATTTGTGTGGTGTAAAATTCTATTTTTATTGGTAATTTAATAATGTTGACTTAATAAGATACGAATTGTTTAACTATCGATTCAGTTTTATTTGTTCTTGTGAACAAATGTGTAATGTTATTTCCGATAATATTTTAATCATAATGTAGCGGATTAGAACAGAATACGCCTTTAAACAATTTTGCTCTGCTTGTGTTTGGTTTTTGATTACCCAAAAGAAGAAAGTAATTTATATATTATTTGACGCCTCACTTTAAAAATAGAAAGTGGTAAAAAAATGTAAACAAATCGACAATACATATTGTATCTTAAGTTTAATATTTGTTAAAGCGGTGATATATACCTTCACTTCGTTGAATGAGTTTAATGAGGTTAATGTTTCCTTATACGCGCAGAGTTCTTATTAATACGACACTACACAATAATAATTAATAAACTATGTAGAATTGCTTTATTTCTTTGTTAGACTTTAGTTTTCGGAATAAATTAATTGTGTTTTTGTAATGGTAATTGTTTATATTTATTATTTTTTTAATATTTTCAAAGCGTAGATGTTGTTGTTTAGAATAAAGAAAAAATAATTGTATTAGTTCATTTTTTATAAGATTAATGTGCTGAGATGAAGGTTAAATATTAATTGACATTTTAATGCCGCTTGTTACATACACACAAAAAATTAACTCGGAAAGATTCAATGTTTGTTGAACTTGAGGGACCGACGACAGTTATTGACCTTGTGCAATATTATTAAAAAAATTATATTTATAATATAATAGGGGCTTCTATAAAATTATTGTATAGGTCATAATATATTATAATATTCAAGTGATATAAAAAATTATTAGCCCATAAGACTACTATCCAGTTAAACGCCTTATGAAGAGAATTCGTCACTTCACGTTAAATTAGTTTCAAAATTTATTAATGTTCAGTTACAGAGTAACAATATTTTTATTTTTTTTTATTTTTAAGTATTAATTAAAATCAATTTCAACATCTTTGTATGTATTTTTTATAAAAACTTTATAAAAGTAAGCGACATGTAAATGATCGGATAACATTTTCACTGTTATCGATTTCTATGCTAATTTTTGTCAAGATCTACAATATTGTTTTGCTATTATTTGTTTATAATTATTTAATTAAACCCAACGCCAATATCATTTCCCTTTTTTATATATTTTTATATATATTATATATATTTATATATATTATATATATTTATATATATTATATATATTTATATATATTATATATTTTTATATATATTATATATATTTATATATATTATATATATTATATATTTTTATATATATTTTATTTCAAATTACTACTTCGTTTAAATCGTTTCTAAGATAAAACAGGAGATGGTTGCGAGCCAACAAGTTATGTCAATGAACAAATATTTAAAGATTTGGCATATGTTTGCACCTATATATTGCCTTTAATTTGGGTTAATTCAAATAAAAATCAAGCAAAATGTAATACTCAATCATTTAAGTCATATATGCATTATTTTAGACACTCCTTGAGCACATGGTATACAAGGTAAGCCTTTGTATACAGGCAGAATTTATATCAAATATAAATATAATAAGAGCTTTCTAGCTTCAACTATATATACTTGTATATCAGATTAGATTCCGGATATAATTTATATTTTGTTTAAGTTACATCTTATTTGTGTACTTCGTTTAATGTTAATATTATTTATCTTTAAACTAATTATTATTATTATTGACATGTTCAGAAATAGCACTTATGAATTTAGTCTAAACACAAGATATTTCCAATTACTACGATCGCGCGCTTTTGCTCTTAGCTCATTAAATGATTTGTTCGTTTCTTTACTAATGGTTCTTTTCCATATTGTCCTCGGCCGACCGTGAATTCTTCTTCCCTTCTTCAAATTTCGGTGTTTGACTTGCGAAGAGTATGCCCTAGCCATCCGTATTTCCTCTGAATTATTTTTTTGTCAAATGGCTCTTGGTTAGTTCGTGTCATGAGGCGTTCAGTGCTAATAATTCGTGGCCACCATATTCTTAAAATCTGTCGCAGACTTCGATTTACAAACGTTTACAACTTATTAGGGATAGCTGTAGTCACATACCAAGTCTCAGATCCTGTCTCAGATTTTTTAAAGGAAAATAAATACTGTTATTGATTGCTATTTAAATCACAATGGTATTAAAAAGACTTCTTTATAAATTATTTTCCATAAGTGGGATCCGATACTAGGGTGTTCTGCACATGGGCAAATATACATTGGTGGCTACAAATACAGTTAATCTATAAAATGGTTGTTTAAAATTCAGAATATTTATTGATTCACAAATATATAAGTAAACATTTATTTATTTCATATTTTTAAATTTATTACATGCTAATTATATGTTACGAAATATAAATTAAATATTTTAAATTAAAAAATGAACTAAAATTTGTTTTTTAAATAGTCAAACCTCGAGCACTGGCGAGTGTAGTATATATTTACTTTATAATCATTGTCTATTCTTTAATATTCTAAGGGTCATAGGGTTCAGAAAAGTTATGGTATAACATGTTACAACTGTCATTAATTTTGTATTTATTAATTAAAAACTAGTGTGTATATCTTAAACACTAGTGTGACAAAAAACTGAGAGCATAAAATTAAGAAAGAAAACATATTGAACATTTTCCAGATTATTTATAAATCAATTTTTTAATTGTTAATATTTCTCACTGTATTCGTAGTGTGTATACAATATAAGCTTATCGTTGTATTCATATCTGTTCTATTGTTTTTCCATTATTTGTGCATTAATGTAAACAACTTCCACGGCTTCCGTGAATTGTTTTTGTTTATTTGCTGAACTTGTATCTTTTAAAATGAATTGAAAACACAATTTCTTAAAAGTATATGAACATTAGGTCGGAGAGTAAAGAGAGCGAAAGTGACCGGAGTGATTAAAAGCAGCGCATAAATTTCGAATCATTTTCACAATCTATTGATTTGGTTTCAATACATTGTCGGAACTATATGCTATAATACTGATATATCAATTGCTGATTTAAGTAATATTTTATTATTTTAAAAAAAAGATCCAGCGATTTAATTTACTAGAACATGAAACATGTTTTCTAATTCCATTAAAGTCTGGGTGAAACACTGTTCATATAGTCACATTTGCTGTCGCCGCATAAATAATTGCCTATTCCATATACGTATATATAATAATATTATATAAATCAATAATTTAAAAATATTATGACATGAAATTTTGCATACATTTCCCAATCTATAGTCCATTCTTTTAAAAATATTAAAAAAATGTTTACTATATATTTTATTTGTAACTAATAAAAATTTTATTGTGGTGTTATATTTTGTACTAATCCATTTTTTACTTATATGGACTGTAATTAAACAGAAATTAATAAAAATAAAACAAAATAGTTTTAAACAAACTGCTTTTTGTTTCTTTGCAGGTACCAATTTTACTACAATAGTTCTTAAGAAAAATATATACAGCTGGTTGGTAGTGTGTGGAAGTGAAAAGAAATGTTACATCTGCTATGATGCGTTACTCAGATATTTCACGTGATTTACCTTCAGATAATTTAAGATATGTTGAGGTATGTTTGCAATTTGAATTGTTTTATCTGCTATTAATATTATGGTGTTATTCACATTACTATAGCTTGGTAATGAACTTATTTATAAAAATTTACGGGAAGAATCCCCAACGAATGACTCGCCCAATTATGAGTTCAGGGAATCATATAACAACCATCCAAACTTAAGCATCAATCAAAATCAGCGTCCTTTTACTGAAAACAAAACTAATGGTCACGATTCTGAATTGGAAGGATCAGGACTTCGAAACAATTGTGGTCACAATTCAAAACGCTATTCATGTAGAAGTAATGGCACAATTAATGGGGCTGCTACTATTTCGTACGTACGGCCACGCAAGGATAGTATTAAATCAGTTCAAAGTTGTCATCTTGACACTGATAGATTGACTTTCTCTGGAAGCAATACTATTAACATTAAAAATACAAGACGAAAAAATTCCATTGGATGCCTAAATACATTTTCCTCATCTCCAGAAACTTCGGAATATTATTATATAAGGTAAGCAAATTAATAGATCGTCAATTATATTTTGAAATATATATATATATTTTATTTATTTATTTTCATATTTTTATATAAAATTGAAAATTGAAGCAACACGTTACCAACGAATAAATCCCAAAGTTTACCAGCACATTCATCAATCAAGCGATTAGATTCCGTCACATTAAATGCTCTTCGTGTCTCAGCTGAAGAATTGGCTAATCAAATAACTTTACTCGACTTTCCAATATTTAGTGCAATACATCCGGATGAATTGACAAGCTGTGCATGGACTAAGAAGGAAAAGAATATAACCACTCCTAATATTGTTGCATTTACAAAAAGATTTAATCATACCAGTTTTTGGACAGTACAAGAAATATTAAGTGGTGATCAGCCAAAGCAAAGAGCTGAAATTTTGACACATTTCATAAAGGTAATGAAATTTAATAATTAATTAAAAATTTAGTTAAAGGCTACAAATTTTCTTTCAAATCTTTTCTCATCATTAGGTTGCAAAAAAATTACATGAGCTTAATAACTTGCATTCATTGTTTGCCATTGTATCAGCTTTACAAAGTGCTAGTATTTATCGTTTGAAAAAAACTTGGGCGTTAGTCTCAAAAAAAGATAAACAGCTATTTGAACGATTGAATGATATTTTTAATGATCAAAACAATTGGGAAAATTTACGGCGATATTTAGAAAGTCTGCGCTTACCATGCATACCTTACTTAGGTCTGTTTCTTACTGATTTAATATATATTGATTTGGCACATCCTTATAAGGGTGGCCTAGAACCAGAACAACGAAGACATAAGATGAACAACATTTTAAGAGTTATAACTAATTATCAACAATCCAATTATACTCATATTCGACCGACTGAAGAAACTCAAAAATATCTTACATCAATAAGGTACATTGAGGAATTACAAAATATATTTGAGGAGGATCAATATAAGTGAGAATATGTGACCGACCTTTAAATATAATAAGTAAAACAATTTTTCCTTTTAGAAAATCCTTAAAATTAGAACCAGCGTCACCATTGGGTCCCAGTTCTTCATCGTGCAGCTCAAAAGAATCATTTAGTGCGGATTCAATTACACCAGCACTGGCATGTTTAAATCTCTCGCCAGCTAAAACTATTGGATCAATGCGAATAGCAGGAAGCAATAAATTTAATCCTGGTCATCGTAAATGTCGAAGTTTAGGTACAAAGTAAGTCAAAAATTGTTTTTCAAAACGAAAAAATATTTATTTTGCAGCCTGAATGATATATGCCATTATTTTTTCTTTTAAAATGCCTTCTTCCGCAACTGCTTCTGTTCACGATAAAATTTCACCATTTAATCATTGGAAACAATATGATGTATTTAATAATTTTTTTGTAAATGGCACATTCTTTAAATATTTTTTATTTCTATTGCTCCTCATGTCATAATAAAGATTGCGTAGCACAAGTTTGCCACGGAATTTTTACAAAAAATGTCGGTGTTCAATTCAAATGATTGCGCCAGGCATCGGCACCATTTGTCGTTGCAAATGTCGGTGAGTTCGATTTTTTATGAAGAATAATTTATACGTTTTTTGTGTAATTCAGTTTAGCTTTTAAATATCAATATATTTTTATTTCAAATGGGGACTTGTAATATAGGTGGCGCTTCTTTATAAGAAGAATAATACATACAAACATTTGGTGTTTGTGGTTGTAATTTTAGTTCCATACTAGGATCTGCGAAGAAGTATATGAAAGAATCACAAGATTATACATTGGAATAGAATACAAAATGGTTTTGTATTTGGTAAGAGGTACAAGTACCACACCTGAAAGAGGAAAGTGTAAGAGAAGATATTGAACCTTGCTCAAGTTTAGATACAGGAAACTTGCCACCTCAATGAATCTATAAATGAATAGCTTTCAAGTGCGGGTTTGCAATTTTATAGGTTGTTGCTTGTAATTATTAATACTGATATAAATACCAAAAGAAAAAAGGCGATAACATACATAACTTACAAAGGACTATTTAATATTTTCCGCTTTACAAAATACTGCATATTCATAAGATCATGTGCAATTGGTTTGAAAAAGTCTGAACGTAGAAACAAGTAGTTCATTTGCTTAATTAAATGATTGAATAAATGAAATTAATCAACTTAAAGTCGGAAGTCAAAGTTTAACAATTGTTCGTTTAAATCTTAATAAATTTATACTTATCTAACATATACACTCATAAAAATTTCATAAATATGTAATACCATATAATACTTTGAAGTCTATCTCTTGAATCATACCATAACACATAAGTATAATTTAATTTTTTGAAATGGGTGTGAAATTTCTACGCATTAAAATAAAATTATATCTTTTATTTAAAGCACTGCATTTACAATAACGCAAAAAAAGTAGCTTCTGTTTAGAGGCGTGTAAAAAATCATTTTAAGCAGGAAAATTTATATAAAGACTAATTTGAAAAAATCCATCATATCTAGTGTAAAATAAGGGATCATGATTTTATAAAGAATGTGCAATAATTAGTCCGCACTACCCAGGTGAACTTATTTAGTTATAGCACACCTGAATAGATCATTGGTTGTAATCATTTGTTGCACTCATACTTTGGCATACATATTTACCACCGCACACTTAAAATTTCTTATAGATTTACCTATAAAATGTTGAAAATGTTATACTTTACATTTGGTAGTGTACGAATATATTTTCTATTTATCTATTTGTTAAAGCATGGTGAAAAGTGATGACCAACTGCCTTTCGAAATTGTTAATGTTTATCCAATTGATAAGAGTGCTAATTAGTAACTTCTTGTTTTCATGCCAACTTTATACATTATATAAAATGTTTTTACTATATATAGTTTATAATATATATAGTTTTCTTACTAGAGCTTCCTTTACTATCGTACAACGATTCGTTACCACACGCTAAACATCGATAAACATCAAATTTTTAAACGCAATCTGCTACGTTGATAAAGGGAATTTATTTTGGCAGTATCTATATTTCAAATTGTTCTTCAGACTTGTTATTCCATACATATTTTCACGGTGGAATACCGTAATCTATGCATTCACACAGATAGTATTTAGTTGTCATTGTCTTTAACTCTACAAGTTAAGTAATTTTGTCATCATATATATATATATATATATATATTATATATATATGATAAGTAATATCGAAAACCACAGTGTGAGACTTGAACCCACTAAAACCACCTCTTAGGAATGAATGGAGAAGATTTCCATAGCATTGAGGAAACTTCATTTCAGTAATCAGAGTAGAGAGATGTGAACATATAGGCTTAATATATGTAAAAATCTATATAAAACTTTTGTCAATAATTCTGCCTGATTATTTAATACAAGAAACAATAGAATTTGTTTATGAAGAAATGACATATGTAGAAATTATTTTTATTATAACATTAAAAACATAGGTTTGCACAAAAGTATACATTTTTTATATTAATAAAGTATATGTTATATATTTTAATTCATATTTATAAAATAATTTTCAATAATTTTGCCTCTAAAAAGTATGTATATATAAACTTTTATTTGCAGTATATTTGGTAAAGTTTCTCACAATCATGAAATTGCAAGTCATTTCACTTCTGCAATGGTTTATGCTGGTGTTAATGAAAGCGTTCAATCCAGACATCCGTTAGATGATTCTCTGTTGGAACAATACAATACGTATGACGGAACAGGAGAGAAATGTTGTAATAATATGTCGGCAGGTGTTTTATGTCCATATGATGCAAATAATATTGACTTAAAGCAGAGGTCGCCTTGTTGGCAAACGTTTTGCATTCAGGGATGTGTGCGTAGAAAAACAGTACAAAAAGAAGGACGGAAACCTGCGGTAGCATCGTGGCAACGATACTGGCTACAATTTTGGGCTAATTCTTTGGTATATTTTCCACCGAAATCATTTAAGGGTAGTTCTCGTATTGATTTTAAACGTGAACCATGTAAGGTTTGTCCTTTAGATGGTTGGTATGCGCACATCATTGATAATCCAAAACATAAAAATACCTTTGAATTGTACAACAGTGCAATTGGAACTGTTTATAAATTTAGGACCGATAGTCCACAGGCGACGCAAATGTGGACTAATGCAATATGTAAACTTGCATCTGAACGAAATGTACCGATTCCTATGACAACGAATCTTATGTCATTTGAGTAACAGAGCACGAGTAAATTGTAATGATTATGGCTGAATTCTCAACGTAAAAACTACATCAAACTATTAAAATATAACGAATATTTAACTTTTACATAAATTAGATACTAGTAAATAATATCGCATTATTTTTATAGTAGAGCATGATATTACATGTATAATAATTTTTAGTTCTATTTTCTAATCAATATTAATGCCTTTAAAATCTTATTGTTGTGCGTGGTATACTTAAATGTTTAAAATCCTGTAAACAGAAATTAATTTTTATTACAACACTTAAAAGCTGTTATGTTTTAAAAAAAATGTTTTTCCAAAGACTGACAATAAAATAAATTTATGAATGAATGATATTACAAAAATTACATTAACTCATAACTCATAACATTAAATAACATCGAGATCTGAATTTTCTTTTGAAAAAAAACAAAAACACTCGAATATGGTTTTAAGTATTTGATTTAATAATAAGTTTTTATAGAATATATAGATTTAAGTTTGTACATAGATCATCATTTTATATATGATCATTATAGCGAACTAGTAGTGCAACGCATTTAAAACGCTAACTGCTCATTTAACGAACATTTGAACAAATTTATTTTAGTTTTCTAAAATTTGATAAAATCACATATTTTTAATATTTAAAGCATGAAATAAATTAGATATAATTTGCAAATCTATCGGAAATTATTCTAGTAAATTTTTGCTTAATGTCATAAAATATATTTTATTAAGATTTATGAAACTTATTTAGTGTTTTATTTTAGTAAACCAGAAAAGCATAGTTTAAATTTAAATTTAAAGTGCATCGTGCACATAGATGTGTCTGCTAATTATTAATTATTAAAATATGTAATAATAAGAAAAATATATATGTGTTAAAAATAAGTTATTTTGATAAGATAAATTTGTCACTTAATTAAATAAATAAATTGTGTTATACACAGCGCTTTATATAATGGAAAATTATATATGTATTAAACACTCGAAACATTAAAAAGTTGAAAATAAATTATAGTATATTTATATCTTATATTACAAAGTGAGAATTTAATATTAAAAAGTACAAAAAATTATGTTGCTTTTTATGCTGACTTTGGCAAATGTTTTAAATTGAATGCAATGCAAATTTAAAATTTTTACAATAGACAGCTCACTGATAAATCTGTAATAAAGTAATAGATATGCAATGGTTTGCAATATTATATAATGTGTAGATAGAAATTTCGTTGATTTAAATTTGCAGTCAGGAATTGTTTTTATCAAATACACAGATTTGCAGCCCTACAGTCGATCATATGCTACAATGGTAAAAATAAGCGATTAATATAGCAATGTATAATTATTCATTAAGAAAAATGACACTTCTAAAATGGAGAGAAAAACTTTTTGAATCGTAATTGTTTCTCCAACGCAATTTTATGTAGCATAGAAAAATGTAGAACGCTTTTTACAGCATAATATATTGATTAGTTAGGTTATTATATCAAATCCAAAAAATTTAAAAATTTTCTTATTTATAATTAATGAAACAATCTATAATTAATTTTATTTTGCGTTGTTTAGGATATATTGAAAGCGTATATATTAAAAGCGTTTTTATTAAAAATTGTTTTGGTTCATTTTCTCTAAATTGCATATTCGTTACTTAAAGGTATCATAAAAACAGTTTTTTAGTTTTATATATTTATATATATTGCTTTTTCTTATATAAAAATATAATATACTTTATAATTTTTTGGCATCAGAGGGTATTATGACTTCAATGGCGAAATATTTATAGGAAATAAGTATACATATAAATAAATATCATTTAAAAAATCCTTCAAATTATAATGTATATCATATGTATATTAATAATTTGATTAGATTTGTGTAAGTTGTATTGCTGTTGAATTTTCACCTTTTTCGTCATTTTATCTCTTTAAACGTTTTTAAGAAGTTCTACGTAAAACCCATGCAATAACATAACACGAATCTTATGGGTATTACAAATTTGCGTTTATAATTGTTTATTGAAATAATGGTATTGTATGCGGCAATATCTTATCGTTATGCAAAAATTTCGATGTCTACCCACAAGTTCATATGAATTTCTATATCAAAAAAGTGAATTTTAAGTAAACAATTATCCTAATAAACTTTTTAAAAAACATTAATCACACTACGAATTAGTAACAAAATAAGCTTATTATATAATACAGTTTATATACATATATATATATGTATATATATTTGGTCATTCAATAATATTTAAAACTAAATTGCCTTATCCACTTTGTAGCTGAATGAATAATAGTAATTCGTGTACTAAAAATTGTTATTGCTCACAAATAAACAGTTAAACTGATGTGGTGAATTTTAATGGATTGTATAGTGTGGGGAATAATATATTTTGGTGTTTAAGAAATTTGCTATTTAAACGAAATAATTATTATTGTAAAGAAAGTATATTAAAATAGTTTGCCAATATAACGTCGCAGCCTTACTTATCGCCAAAAATATTAAATATTTATATATTATTAAAAAAATGGAATTGAAGGTTTGTGTTTAAAAAGTAACTAAAACTCTTATTCTTAAAAGAATTTATTAAAAAAATTATTGTAGATGGTACGAGTGGCGTTAGTTATATTGTTATTAAGTTCGATAAATCCCGTTTTTGGAAGTATACTGAATAATTCTAAAAGCACAGTGTGAGCTTCAAGTGAATGTGTAATTTAAATTAATATTTTGTTATTTATACCTTTAGTATAGAACATACAGAATCCTCTGATTCGCACAAAGATGGTTTCTGGTCACAAAATGTTACATGGAAATCGCGTTGGGTGAAATACTGGCGTACAAAAGCAATATATGTTCCAGTTTGGAAAAAAGTTTGGGGACCAATAGTACAAAATGAATGGGTTCCACTACCTAATGCTCCACCAGGCTGGCAAAACAGAGGGTTAGAAAAACATATTAAAAGCGTTGATTCATAAAAAAAACCAAATTTATTTATAATCAAATGAGTTATTTGCTTTTTGTAATTTAAATTATTCTTGCCAAATTAAAATATAGACTATGAAATAAAGAAAAAATTTTAACTTTTAAAAAGGGAGGTTAATACATTTTAAAGTGTTCATTAAGGTCCCCTATTAAAACCTGCATTATTTCATTAGTATGCTTAACAAATTAAACCGTTTTTTGTGCTGTTATTTGAACTTCTATTCAATAAAATAAAACAAAATTATTTAATATTTACAATAATTTATTTTCTGATACTTAATATAGTTATAAGTACAATTATTTTTATAATATTTCAGTTCCTATATAAGCTCTATCATTTTAATATATCATATTTAAAAAAAATGAATAAAGAATTTATTTAGTTTAGTGAACAAACTTAAAGTTAGCGACTATTTATATACAAGGGGTTGGCAGACATAAGGTATTACAGAACTAAAAATTGATGGCATTTTATATAAAATAAATATTTATTTACGTTGTAGGAAACTGAAGTTTTTGGTTATGAGTATCTGGTACTTGGAGATAATTTATCGCTTTTTGGTCCGTAGGCTCAACTTGTTTAAGTTGTGTTGTCTTTGTTTCTGATACAGATTTGTCATCTCGTTTCCATACTACTCTATCTTTCGCATTACCACTGCGATCCCAACCATGTTCCTCATGATGATGATGGTGATCGGGTGTTGGGAACCATTCTGAAATAATGACAGGCTTCCAAATTTTCTTCCATGCAGGGACCCATATGTCCTTGTATCCGGGTACCCAGATTTGTTTCCAACCTTCCTTCCATTGCAATTTCTTATCATCAACCCAAATTTGCTTCTTAGAAGGCTTCCATATTTGCACCCAATCTTCTTTCCATTCCAGTTTTTTATCTGGAACCCAAATAAGTTTCTTTGCTGGTTTCCAGATTTGTTTGTAATCTTCCTTCCATTCAAGTTTCTTGTCATCAACCCAAATTTGTTTTTTCGCTGGTTTCCAAATCTTTTTCCAAGCTTCTTTCCAAGCAAGTTTTTTACTTGGCACCCATATTTGCTTTTTGGCTGGTTTCCAAATTTTTTTCCAATGAGATTTCCATATTAGTTTTTTCTTCCACAAATCGTGACTTGTGTATTCCCAGCCTTCGTGATCTTTTCCCAAATATTTTTCACCTGGTATACCAACCTATAATGAAAAGATAAATAGAATATTATTTAACTTTTTTTCCTTTTTATCTTACGTTTGTAGGTGACAGTATATACTGTTAAAAACGTTTTCACTATATATATCTTCTTATACATATATAAAATTTATTTTGGTCGAAAAAATTTTCTTTAAATAGAATATACCATAAATCAATAATGCAAATCAATTTTATATTTTTAGCCGATTTTGCACAAAGCAGTTCAAAGATAATGTATTCTTCAAATTTCGAAATTTTTAAAATAAATAGTTAAAATTATACCTTAATCCATTCTGGAGTCCAATATTGCTTCCATTCAGGCACTTGTATCTCCTTCCAAGCAGGAACCTGTATGTCTTTCCATACTGGAACCCAAATTTGTTTCCAATCAGGAACCTATGGTAGAAATATTGAAATATAAATGTAAATATAAAATCTTATCTAAATTCTTAATTAAGAAAATAGCTTAAAAAATTTCGTAGAAAAATTTATCGAAGAAATGAAGTGCTGACCTGTATTTCTTTCCAGGCAGGCACTTTTGTTGGCACCCATATAGGTTTCCAAATTTTTTTGTAGGCAGGGACTTGGATTTCTTTCCAGGCAGGTACTTGAATTTCTTTCCATACTGGTTTCCATTGTTGTTTCCATGCAGGAACTTTTATATCTTTCCAAGCAGGTACTTTTATTGGTACCCAAATGGGTTTCCATATTTGCTTCCATTTTGGAACCCAAATCTGCTTTTTAGCTGGTTTCCAAATTTTTTTCCAACCTTATAATTTAAATTGAATAATCAATGTTAAGTACAACGTTTTAAACGTTTTAAAATAAAAAGAAATTTGATGCTTTTATCAAACCTTCTTTCCAAGTAACTTTTTTTTTCCAAAATCCCGGATCATGTTCATGTTCGTGATGATGGTGATGATGATGCTCATCTATGATGTCAATGTGAGCATCATTTCCAAAGTCAATTCGTTTTTGTAAAACATCTGCGCTATTCTGCTGTGTGGGAGAAGAATGCTGATCTAAAATCGCCTTACTTGAGACTAAGGCAATGACCGACAGTGTTTGAAGTACAATGCTCTACAATTAATAGTAAAATACACAAAAGGAATATTATAATAATATTTCATTTAATTAATAACATATTTAATAAACATAAATAAATTAAAATTTAAGAAGGTTAAAGCTAAAGTTAAAAATGTTTGCTTAATCCTTTGCGACGTTTAAATATCCTTTATTAAGATTTACTTAGAATTTTCTATATTAAGTTTCTTTATGTTTAAGTCTTTTATTAAAACAGACTTGATTAATAATTTTTTTTTTTTAAAGTACACATCAACTAAAATTAGTATAATAATAGTATAATGTAAAAATTATATTCATTCAGAAACTTTTTTGAATATATGTGTATTTCAACGCAGACTGGCCTTTCAGATTTAAAGATAAATAAAATTTTGATTTCTATTTTTTCTAGGTTTTCTATCCGATAGTCTTGATTTGAAGTGACATGTGTCGAACAGGATGGTAGTTCAATATTTCATGTGTTCAGTTTCAAGCTTGCCATTTTACAATATAGATTATTTGACAATTTGCAAGAAATATCGTGACAACGGTATTTCACATCGAATTCTTTGTAAATGAGGCTTATTTTGCACTCGATATTTTTGTTGATAATCAAAATTTATACTTTAGAAGTACTAAAAACCTATAAATAACTGTCAAATGTACCTGTATAGTTGACACCTATTTTATCAAAAATTATAAAAGTGTGACACAAACGGTCATAGTGATCACTATCAATTTTTTTGCCGTTACATTGAATACATTGATGTGATAGAAATGTGGTTTAAAAGAGGGGTCCCACAAGGTACACAGAATCTCTCGTTTTGGCTTTGTTGCATGAAAAATTTCTCGATTTGTCATGTCGAACTTTTTTTGTGTATATACAAACAATTCTCAAAGTCTCAATGCTTTAAAAGGGAACATCTGCGAAGTTATGGTAAAGATATTGTCGGATATGTACCGACACAAAGCCTTAAAACAATATTTTCAACTTTGGAAATAAAAAACAAATAATAATTATTAGGGATCAGATTACTAGGGATATTTTTCTAATGCAATCAAACGAAACGTACATATCCCCACCAAGTACTCTAATTTTTTTTCCACAAAATATTTTTTAAAATATAGCTATATATTATATTATCTTATATATATAATTCTTCTGTACGTGTGTTGACAGTGAACTCCTCCTTAACGGCTGAACCGATTTTGATGAAATTTTTTGTGGGTGTTCAAGTTGATTCAAGGAAGGTTTAGATTCACAATTTGGCCCACTGGATAATGTCTTTTTAATTAATTTTTTTTTTTTGTATCCATACACATTTATATTAGAAATTTAAAATTTATTCCTGCTTACTTTGATTTGTTTAAAAAGTTTAAAATCATTAAAATGAATCGTAAAACTGCCGTTGCATTAAATGTCTAATATAAATGTATATAGATACCAAAAAACTGTATAATAATTAAAAAACCGTTATCCAGTGGACCAAATTGTGAATCTAAATTATTGTTGAATTCACTTGAACACACACAAAAAAAAAATAATTATATATATAAAGATATAAATAACGTACAAAAAATAATGCCACGTCTTCGTGGACGAGGAGGAAATATTGGTCGACGGAGTCGGAATTCACAATTACTCTAGAACTGTCGGTTAAATAGATCGGCAGAAAACAATGAAAATGTAAGAAACCAGGATACAATTACACGTACTAATGAAAGTCAAGAGCAACGCAACGAACGCCAGGAAAATTAATTGCAAGGGGAAACAACGTTCGCTGGGTCAGCTAGTAAATATATATAATGAAAATTTTTAAGTAAAATTAAGTGACAAATATAATTTGAAATCAATTTGTGTTATATTTCCGAAATTTATGGTGTACTGATTAATTTTTTTAGTAAAATTTAATAGCAAATTTAAATCAGAAATAAATAATCAAGATTTATAATGTATAATTTGAATGATTGAATTGTTTATATTAAAATTAAAATTTAATCAATTACATTTAAAACACAATTCATTTTACAAATTCTGAAATCCCAATGAATCCCCATCTTTTTTTATTCTAGTAACTCAAAAAAAGTGTAAATGAATGACCCATAAACATGAATGACAGATTTTCAAAAGTTTCAAGCTATCATTTAATTGAGTTCATACGGAAATGTTTACAAGGAAAAAATTCAGCGAAGGTAAGGAATATTAATATGGGGACCATTCATCAACATTTATTTTTGACCTCTATCTCCACTCTGCGGTACAATAAATAAAAACGACTGGAAATATAATCATAGATCGGAAGTGACAATCGCTTAAGCATTGACGTAATTGGTATTACCTTACCTTACCTTAGTATTACCTTACAAACATTTTGTCAATATAAAATCAGCAGCTAGATATATTGGACTAATTAATGGATATAATACAAAATATTGTTTGATATTAAAAAATCAGTAGAAAAAATCCACAAATTATACGAGTTTAAATTAATCGAATATTCAAGATTGCTTATAAGCAGGGAGTAGAAATGCTTTGCTAATACAAATTTATTAATATCAAAGCTAAATATTACAAAATGGCTATATGACTATATACAAATCTAAAATCTAGGCAATACTTGGATTAGACATAGAAACTAAGAATTTTCAAATGACAGATCATGGTCCAAAACAACACAAGTTCAGAGACATTTCTTAATAAGAAATAGTGGTGAGTTGTTGAAGTTAATCAGAGCCAAAAATATTATTAAATTGATCAAAACTTAAAGGTTTAACATAGATTATGATTTAGATAAGATTAGATCAACCTTATTTAGAATCATTCTAGACTATACATCAAAAGCGACAAAGATAAAGAATATCCGCGTATGTACTAAATAAATTTTATTGATAATAATGTGAGAGCTATTACATTGAGAAACAGAAGAAATATAGCAAAGAACAGAGAAGAAATTAGGAAAACAGTAGACGATACTAAAACCCATACCGGGGCATATAGCTAACAACCCGGTATGGGATGTAACAACAATTGGGTTGTTAGTACTTATTATTATTTCCATACTCCATTAGGAGCTTAAGGAGTGTACAAAAGTTTTCCACTGGTTTATATTTTGTGCCATTGCTCTTAACTTGTTAAACGATTTGCCCGTCTCCTGTCCTTCTCCAGGTCATTGTTGATCTGCCTCTTCGCCTAGTCCCCTGGGGGTTCCAAGTAAGTGCAGCATGCGCGATATCTTCATAAGGCTTACGCAGTGTATGTCCAATCCAACCATATTTCTTTCTTCTAATCTCGCTGTTTACGTTTGTTTGATGCGTTATTCTTCATAACACTTCATTCAAAATCGTTCTAGGCCACCATATTTGTAATATGTTGCGCAGACATCGATTGATAAATGATTGCAATCTTCTTTCGATCTCGGAGTTAGCAAGCCAGGTTTCCGATTCATATACGCATATCGATTTGACGCATCCATTAATAATTTTTACCTTAATGTTGGTACGTATATTGTGGGTCCGTCATATGTTACGCAACCTACCAAATGATACTCGCGCTTTTTGAATGCGGCTATAAGCGTCTTTTTACGCACCTCCATCTACCGATAGAATGCTCCATAAGTAAGTAAAGCTCTCGGTGTCTACGATGTGATGTCCATTGATTGTAACCGAGTTGAGTTTTTGGTTTTTATACGCATTGTGATGTTAGTAATAACAGGACAGAAATGGTTAAATTAAATTTAACAAATATACAGTAGATCTGTCTATAAAACTGATTCACATAAGACGAAATGTCTTAACACGATAGCAAAATTGTAATCGTGTTTATACAATACACTAAAGATGCATAAAATATTGATCCACGGCCATAAAAATTAATGTCCCATAGTGTTTTAAACGTGATTATTAAAGTGAGTTAGTTTAAATATAACAAGAAAAATTTTTTAATTTGGACTGTGAACGGCTATGTATTGGTTAATCTATGTTCCAAATAGACTGCAATTTTAGAAAGTCGAAGAGCAAATTGACGTTATGCGGTTTGGTGTTTTTATTATTCAATTAAATTCTTTAAATAACTTTCACCATTCCTCTCACAAGTGTCAACACCAATGTCATTACTAAACATTAATTAACGTTGAATACTCATCAATGTCGCTGGTGTGTCGCGTGTAAAGAACTATTCTTTCATAAAGATTCTTTGCAAAAATGGTGAAAAGTGTAAACTTTTTCAAGATTTATTGATATACACCACAAGGCGAGTTGAAAAACTTTATTTCAAAATTAAAAGTGTAACAAAATTAAAATGGAATATATCATTTTAACGTAATATTTATCAATATTAATACAATAAATACTGCATAGCATTGAAAGTACTTCTCTTTTTAATATGAATTCCCTTTCCAAATATATGCATATATAATATTAGAAACGTATCTTTTTATTTTATTACTCATACATTCCATTTATTAGCACTAGCCCCAGTCCCCGCATCAGCAATAAATCAAATATTTATTTAATAATTTAAGCTTATTTTGTGATTTTGATGGTCTATACATCTCTAAGCTAAAGTTTTTAAATAGGTCATTAGTAGTTTTGATGTGGGTGAGGTCATAGAGTGTAATTTTGCATTTCATTTTGTAAGATTGTGTAATATCCTTTTTTGGACATTTCTCTTTTGGTTGAAATTGTTACGAAATCACCAAATATGTTGAACTTTCCTAAAAAGTGCGATTGGCATTGAAAAGTTTTTTGAATATGAAATTATTTGTGCAAATCCCATTAAATCTATTTGAATACGTTGACCTTATATTTGTGGTAGGTTAGGAAATTAATTTGCAAAGCAGCAGAGGAATGATTGTAGGCGAAAATTTGACATGGCTCAAAAATTGAAAAATTGAAAAATTGATCTTTTGCAACTTTTTACCTATGGTCTGGTCTAATGATACAATGAACTATGTTGTGTAGGTTATGCCATAAGTTTTCGTGATTGATATTTCAATAATGAGTTGCATATTTTGCTTAATTTGAAATAAATTCACCAAAAATAGAAGAAGAAATTTTATGGAATCAAATTAAATGTTGAATATTGAATTTGTTTTTTATATAGTTTAGTTGTATATTTTTTTATCGTTTTATTTGCAAACCAATTTAATTTTTCTATAATAATCATTTAATTCAAAACACGTAATAAAAATGTGTAATTTTTTAAGACTTAATATTTTAATGAACTATGGTGGCTAGCAAACATCACGGAATATTTATTAAACACCCAGATGACTGTCAAGTGTTTAGACTTTGATTTATGCGGCTTACTTATCAAGAAGCAGGTTTTTAGAATACGATTGGTAATGCAATTATTTGGTGCACAAATAAAATTTAATAATTATTAAAGAAATTAAATTCTTTTTTCACGTTCGTTTTGGCGAAAGAAACTAAATTTTTAATATAAATTAAAGTTTTCAATGGAGAGGTTTTTAATTAACAGAAGTAATATTGCAACAAAAAAAATTATTTTATTATTTTCAATTAATGAAGTTTCGATATTGGAATTATTTCATATATTTAGTTATTAGTAAATAATTTTTTGACACTTCAATTACCTAGGGTAGAACAGGTACCCTCCCAAATTTAAAGCTCAGAGTCAGAGCTCAAGAGCCAATTTGACCTAAAGCCAAGAACGGCTTGTATGTTCGAATTTTAAGAAAATAAAAAAAAAATTAAATTAAATAACTATTATTTGAGAAAATATTATGCAGTATTAATTCAGTTTAACTTTTATTATATAAATATTGCCCATAATTTTAATCATTTGCAATAAAATATCACATTTTTGTCTGGACAGTCGCAAATGTGTTTTAGAGTCCACTATTGGATTATTTTATTTTAATAATAAAGTATTACAAAAATTGAAAGAGAAAAAGCAAAAAAAGGAAATTCTTACGATACAATATTAGGACTATACGACGAATGCATCAAGATTTCTTAGCCAACATCTCTCCGTTTTTGATGGATAATGAAAAAAGTTTTTGTAATAAAACAGATTAATCACCCAGTGTACCACACCAAAATCTCGTATATGTATACTTCTACGTTATTTGTGAATTTTTTTTTACTGTGTACTAATTATTATAATTCTATTTATACTTTTTTTTTTATATGTATCTTATACCTTCTGAATGTTGTGCCTTTGAAAATTAAATGGTACACTGTAACTTCTTTTTAGTTGGTATAATCTCATTAATTATCTTACCTATAAGATTATCTAATTTTATTAATTCCCTTATCTTATTAGCCTATCAATTCAACCCTTTATTATTTCCTCCCTTCATATGGATAGAATAATATAATAAATGATAATGATGGATGAAGCCCTTTAACAAAGCGTCTTTTTTGTTGTAAGTTTTGAAGTTACAACTTCGATCTGTAAAGCTTCTTATTAATTTGAACAAGACTTTTTTGTAGAACTTTGTTCGTACATTATTACCTGTTACCAAACGATTTCTTTGCATTAGCTATTATTAGATGGACATTCAGTTCATTCAACTTTTTTTTACTTAAATATCACTCAAATATCGCACTTCTTTATCTAACTAGCTTTATATAACTACTTTTTAACACTGTTTAGTAAGTCTTCAATCTCTAGTGATATCATAATTCCTCAGAAGTCGGTCTCTCCAGTCTTAAAAATTAAGCTTAAAGAAAAATTCCTGGATGCAAGTCAAGCGAATAGAAAAAGGTAAATACGTTTTACCGAATCCAAATCAATAAACAATCACTAAAGAGTGCTGGGATCACATATGTGTGATATTATTATTTTTCTTATGGTTGAAAACTTTTATTCCTTATGATAACGCAATTGTGACGTTTAGTTTACATTTAGTTCATAAATCTGATTTGTGCGCATTATTATACTCTTATATATTTTATTATCTAATAGTAAAACGAAAGACTTAAGCAACACATTTCATTAAACTAAATATTTAGTCACGATAAAAATAGAAAATTAAATTTTTTAAAAAGCTTATGCAAATTTTCGATTATGAAATATAAATTTGTTTGAAAACTCCTGAGTTCCATATTAGGAGTGTTAAGTGCGCTAATTTTCCGCATCTACATAGGCGTCCGTGTCGGTGTCATTCGAAAAGATTAAGAGTGAAAGTGATATAAACAAATTGAAAGGGCAAATAACGACAAAAGTGTTCACTTTTGCTTTCATTTGCAGATGATCGATAACAAATGAACTTGTTTGTTTACAAAACATTTGTAATTTAACTATTTCATAATAATTATACGCAAGGTTTTTGATTCACAATGTGTTTGTCATAGCAGTTTTGTAGTCTTTTTAAATGACTTCATAATTATATTTTATAATGTGTTTAAATCACATTTCTCGGTTTATTGTTCTAACACTGGTAGCTCCATCGTTAGTGGGTAGGTGTGATTACTTACTATCCATAAGTACTGAAAAACTCTGTCAGGATTGATTAGTTGAACATGGTCCTCGATGGTGCCCATAGTATTACTAATACTAAGCAATAATGATAATACTGATAGTATTGATAGATACTGATAAACCTACTTCGGCTTATAATTCCATATGGCATTATGAAGCTCTTCATATAAGTAGTGAGTTTTCATTCAGAATATCATAACGAGATTTAATAAATAATTGAATTAACGTATAATGAAAAAAAAAATGGTCCTAATATGTCCTAATATAGTTTTTTCAAAATCGACTAAAAATATATTATTTGTTATTTTAATTCGTAAATATTTTTGATCATTTACACTTGATTTTTTTTTTAGCAGAAAATTTTTATTAATTTTTAACTAATGATGTTTTATTAATGATAATGTTAATAGTTAGAAATTTGTGTAGACATAAAACCAAGTATTGATAGTTTAAATAGATAAAAAGATCTGAAAGTCTCTAAGAACCATACTTTACTAACACAAAGAAGTTTAAATTTAGTAGTTAAAAGTAGTATTTTCTTTTGGGATCGCATATATGTGACAATGCAAACATTTTGGATATCACATTGACAGTTGGTAAGGATTATATCTTCTACAGCTAAACAACGTTTTCTGCTTCTTCCTCTGACTTACAACTTTGACAGTAATAACAGCTTATAATGTTTCACTATTATTTAATACCTTATTAATTTTGATAGTTATTTTTCTTTTGTTTTTGTTTTAGAGTAATAAAAGTAATCTTTCCATGTGTGCACAAGACATAATTTTGAATCTGTTGCTTTTTTGATACCTCCATTCCATAAAAACTGAATAAACAAGTGCTTTGATTGTAATTAAAGTATCTTTGAATAGGATACCTGTTCTCTTATCGTACATAATTTACTCTATACGTATTCTAATCTTTTCTAAACACATATGTGTTTATACTACTTATACAAAAAAATTCTTGTTCTTCTAAAAAAAAAAGAGAAAAGGAACTATTACGACTCAACAGACGTGATCTGTGAATACTATGTAGTGCCATCACAGAGAATTACAGCTACAAATTGTCTAAACTAAGTTATAAATAAAACTGTAAACATATATAGTCAAGTTTCTAATCACTAAATGTCCAGCTCAATTCTCCCTTGATAATTGGTAATTTGACTTTTTAACTTTTAAAAATAAACTGTAAGGAAATTTAAATTAAAAAACTTTTAATAAAATTGACAAACTGAGAAGATTTCTAGATCCACCATTGAAGTAATGTAAAACAGCACTTTAGACCTTTTCCTCTCTTACAATAGATTTTTCATTTAAATAAAAATTTGGGTGTACTCATTGTACTCATATGTATATTAAAGTTCACTTCACAATCTAGGCAGATGAGACACTTGGTGGTATCAATCTATTAACATAGGTAATAGTCTTTGAACTCATTTCGATCTGGGGACAGTTTGTAATAATTTTTGAAGCGAAATAAAAACAATTGTGGTCAATGCGAATCTATTTAGTAGTAAAACAGTTTTCTTTAAATATAGAAATCTGAATATCTGAACCAATAGGTGGTGTGCAATCTGTAACTGAAGTTGCATTAAACATATAATTTTGATAAAGTATAGCAAATTACTGACGGTTTAATAATGGCTTACAGTGTGATTTGGTGCAAATATAAAATAATTTGCTGTGAGTATAACATATTTTGTTTCGTAGTCAAATGTTATATAAGTATTGCATACTCATCGTAATATCGTAATCACACCGTAATTGTTTAAGTCCGCAAATACTCATAAGGAACTCACAGAATATTACATGTTACATATAACTGCTTCCGTTAAAATTTTATTATTTATTTTTGCATATTTAACACTTTCACTTTTAACTTTTTCTTCATTTTATCTTCATTTATATTTATCTGCCAACTTGACCGATTTAAACAGGGTTTTAAAATAAATTTATAAAAATATTAATTAAAAGTATTACCAATAGACTCCGGTGGACCCGCATGGTTCCCAAGCAAAATGTAGAAAATTAGACGATAATACAAATTAATTTCTCACACTTTAAAACTATTTACATTTAATTGAAAAAAGAAAATATAACACAGTGTCTTCTGATTTATCGACTCAAACGTCACACGCATAATCCAAGTCTATCGATCCCCTTCAAGGAAAAAACTGCTATGATAATTCTTTGACACTCCAGTTAAATACTGCGGTCGAATTGCTCCGGCTGACGCTGTCTCAAACGCAAGCCACTTGAACTACTCAAAGAAAGAAAATCAAAATCAAAATAAAGACAGAAATAAAGACAGTGAATTCGGTTGAGTTAAGTAACGAACAAATAAGAGCAACCGTAAAAGCTTTAAGACGCATCTGAAAAGCTTAACTTAGTCTACTTAACCACACTCAACCACACTCAACCACACTTCACACCACTGGCTGCTAGCGTTCGTGTAAGTAAGCCAACAACCTTGAAATCCAATAACGGTTTCTGTTGTAAACAAACTTCAGCGAGTCGCCCCAACGAATGAAAGTACATTTTCAGCTATGACGAGCGCGACTGCGTACGCTAAAGGCAGTTGTTGTGATGTTCCACGGTTGAGAGTTACCGCATCGCAAACGCCGGTATTTTAAGGTGAGTTTTTTTGTTTTGATTTTGACTTCACTGCCTCAGTGTATCTTTTTTCAGTTTCGTCTTTTACTATTCATTCGGTGTTTAACAGACCTCTTCGCCCATATTCGCATATGATCTCATAATATTTTTTGTTTTAATATAGACTCTTGTAGTGCGGCTAAAAAGTAGCGATTCGATTGTGTAGCGTTTATTTTGGCGTTTATTTTGTAATAATTGGCTTAAATAATTTCAATCGAGATTTGGCGCCGCATATAAATAAGAAGAAGAAATATATATGCACGGTGCGTGAATTTCAGATTTTGGTTTACTTTGCAATATGGGGAATTCTTGTTTTCAACGCTCTGAAAGGTTAGCACGTCCATAATATTTAGTTATTGTTTTGCTTTGTTATTAATTGATTGGTAAAAATTATTTTAACTATAACAACATAAAGAATTGTAAATAAATTTGTTGCTTATTCAAATTCAATCCAAAGTTATGGTCTTTTAATGTCGGTTAAGGGCAATGGACATAATTACCTATAATGACAATAACAAATACTTCTTAATAGAAGTGCTTGCATGATTTTTTAAAAGACATGATCAACATATAAATAATAAATTAATAATCATAACAATAATTAAAAACATTTTTTTAATAATTTTTATTTATAAACTATTGTAATTGGACAATTCTTTCAGTTGATAAATATATTAAATTACTGTGCTTAAAATATCACTTTTAAATAACAATTATTCATTGTTTTCATTATTAATAAATAATAATTAAAAATGTGAATAATAATTAAAAATGTGATTTATTGTAATATAAAATAACACGAATATTAAAATATGAAAATAAATATGATAATATGACAGTAAATAGAGTCAAACTTCCATAGCTCGAAGTACCATTTCGCAAAGAAAACGTTCGACTTATGGAGACTTCGAGTTAGAGTTTTTTTACGAGGGCTGCTATATACATTTCTGATCTAATAATGAAAATGCGAATATTTATCATCAAAAACTGTTTTTTTTGTTATTCAAAATATTCTCCAGCCTGATTTATACACTTGTGCATGCGCTTAAACCAATTGTCGTAGCACTTTTTCCACTCCGATTGAGACACATCCAAAACATAGTTCTTGAACGCTTCAACAGTATCTTCTGGCGACGAAAATCGTTGACCACGCATTTTTTTCTTGATGTTAGAGAATAATAAGAAGTCATTGGGTGTCAAGTCAGGGCTGTACGGTGGATGACCCATCAATTCGACATTTTGGCCAGTCAAAACAGGCCACATGACCAGTTTTGCCGAGGAAACAGGCGAAGACCTGGCTCGTGTTCGAAGACCCACACGCTCGATTGTTGTTTTGTTTTGGGCTCATACGCATAGATCCATGAATTGTCACCTGTGACGATTTGATAAACGTCTTTTACAACACCGCGAATGTATTTTTTCAACATTTCTTTGCACCAATCGACACGAGCCTTTTTTTGAGCGATTGTCAAATTGTGCGGGATCCAACGAGAATAAACCTTTTTTATGGCCAGGTGTTCATGCAATATCGAATGTATGCTGGTGGAAGAAATGCCCAAGAATGCCCCTACCTCACGGTATGTCACATGACGATCTTGCATTATCAGTTCACGCACGGCATCAATGTTCTCTGGCACAACGGTCGTTTTTGGACGACCTTCACGGAATTCGTCGTTCAGCAAGCATCGGCCACGATTGAATTCATTAAACCAGTTTTTCACAGTGCTATAGGATGGTGTTTCATCGTTATACAAATATTTAAGTTCATCAATGCACTCCTGGCCTGATAATCCACGTCGAAAGTTGTGAAAAATGATCGCACGAAAATGTTCACGTGTTAATTCCATTTTTTGGGCGAGATGAATGTTTTAAGTCTCTGTAAGTAAAACAAATCACAATTAAATGACAACACGTTCTGAGTGATGTTATGCTAAAAAATGTCAACTTTTCCAATGGAAATGTCAGATTGTACTTGGCAACACTTAATGTTGGCTAGGCCAGAAATATATATAGCAGATCTCGTACTTTTTTTATTTTTTGAAAGAAACTAGAATTTCATTTTAAGATATTTATTTATTTATTTGAAATTAAATACGGCATAAAAGTTGTAGTGAAGTAAAATATTTAGAAATTAGTGTCTAATTTATTATTCTTATTTTTAGTAAAAATTTATTCCAACTTTTATAGTGATCATCAGTTCTAGTATCATTCGTTTGCAAATAAAAATTTTGAATTTAGAATGAGTCTTCTACTTTATTCTTTTAAGGCTAATGAACGATTTCATTCTCCTCAACATCACATTCCGTTGCGCTTACAATTGGATCCATTATAATATATAGAGCTATAATGTTCAATAACATCATCTGTAGGAAAGCTTGATGTACAAATTTCATTTCAACCTCAATATAATCGTTAAGAGAAGCATTGGAAGTTATTTTATTTACTTTAAACCACGCTATCAGCGACTGGCACAAAGAAGCAACATAAGAAAAAAAATTAAACATTTGATTTGGAAAAAAGAACTTCCCCTAACAACAAAAATTCGACTTATAGAATGCACTTTTCCACATTCCTATTGACACGTAACAACATTTTTATTTGAGTTATAGAGAAATTCGAGTTATGGAAGATTGACTGGGATTGATTGATTATTATTGCTGTGCTTTGCCTCACTAAGCAGTCGGAATCCTGTAAATTCTATATATTCTATAAATTAATTCATATTAACTTCATCAACATATATAAGAATAATTAAATCAGTATTAGTACTTATAACGTTATAGTGGTCTTTCTTCTAGACTCCCAACAAAATTGAAGTTCTTGACTGATATTGTGTGAGAAAGCATCATGGATTTACATAATATAGATATATAGCGTTAAACATATAGGATTTGGTAAAATATTTTACAAAAAGAATTAACATAGCCTAGGACTTTATGCGAAATTTGTAAAAACATAGTAGACCTATTGAGTTTACAATTGGCAATGTAAATAAAAATTTCAGATAAAATGCTAATTCTCCAGATATAAAGAAGCTAACTTGTCAAAAACGTAAACATTCAGATAAAATATTGATGATGTGAACCAAAGGGTGAATGAACATGGAAAACAATCAATTAAGACTTAGATTTCTTATAGCATATAAAACTTTATTGATTTAAGAAATTGAACCACATAATCATTTATTGTACAGATCATTTATTAGCATACTAGTCATTAGAGCAACGGAATAAAACTCTGTTCATCTTCATTATTTTCAGCATGATAGTTCGGCGTGGACTAGTGTTTTCTCAACCACACCTCTCTATTGCTCTCTATTTCGGCACCATTTTATGTATAAGTCTAGCAAATCATAAGTTTAGCACCTTAGCGTTGTAGCATATTCAAATTGAGCCATCTGCTCAACCGCATTCACATCCAAATAACAGATTAACAGTTTTTTATGGTAAGGGGTCTGGAGGTGTAATTGCATCATATTTTTTTTAAACCGATAATGACGTTGTGGTTACGAATAAGTTCAGTACTATTATACATGATAACTTTTCATTCTTTCGTGGCATAATTAATAATTTTCATTTACCTGATTTGGGGTTTCAATAACACTTTGCAGCACAACACAATCGATAAATCTTATTTAACAACCCTTAATATATGCATTTGCGATTTTCAGAACAAAACTCACATCATTTTATCACGATCTATCATGTATAGTTTATTTGTCTAAATTAAATAAATGCTTTATTTTTCAGAACACTGAATCTATAACTGTGAACTTCCAGAAGGATGGCCATACTGTTTTTTTTAAAATTACTAACAAAAATAGACTTTTGATTTCATATAAGCCCACAAACTAATAATAAAATGCCTGTGGTGAAATCACTATTTGTAAAAATTAGACAAATCTATTTTTACTTCTAGACACTCATGCATAAAAAGATCACCATGACGTAATATTAAACTTAAAAAACCTTTATTTTATATACATATATAAATATAATAACATATATATAAATAAATATAATATACGTATATTATATATACTTATATAAATGAATTTGTTTGTTTGCGCGAGTGTGTTTTGTTGTTTTGTTTCTCTTTGTTTTTACTCTTGACCTTTCTTTTATGCAAGAACATGTAATCCCTAAACCATATTTTTACAGAGAATTGTCATTTCTGTTCTTTTTGAAACAAGCTCTAATTAAGTAGAGATCCGCAAAATATGAATTATGTATTTGTAATAGTACACCCGTAATCGATTTGATAAATAGTCAGTGTAGTAAAGAAGACAACATTGTTTTTGTTGCAAATTAGTTGCTTTATTAATAACGAGGTTTTTTGACTAGTACGTTGCG